TTTAGATCAGGAGTCTACAAACCTCTTCTCTAAAGGACAAGATAAATATTTTTGGCTTTGTGGGCCACATGGCATTGGACTCCATCAAAACTACTAGCCAGCTCTGACATTGTTGTGTCAAAGCTGCCACACGCTATATGGACACAAATGAGCCCCAATGAAACTTTATTTATGGACACTAACATTTGAACATCATATAACTTTTGTGTGTCACAAAATATTCTCCTTTTGATTTTTGCATTCAATAATCCAAAAATGGAAAAAATCCTTCTTAGCTCAGGAGCTGTACAAAAACAGACAGTGGGCCACGCCGTCTGCGCATCTCTGCTTTAGAAGAAGCAGCTGTAAGATGCTTTTCCCAGTTGTGGAATGAGAGTCATTCAACGGCTGCTGAGTCCTAGAATACTTGTCCCCAAAATACAGTAGGTGCTCAATATGCACTTGTTGAAAGGGAGAAAGAAGGGAGGAAAAGAGAGAGGGGGAAAAGGAATCAGCTTCAGCAGACCTTGGAAGTGGCGTTCTCAGCTCCAGAGCCCAGGCTGACATGACGGCACCTCCCTGCCTCCTTTTGAGCCTGGCTGCAGGACCATTTCCTTTCATTCCTTCAGGACCTCTGCAAGCTTCCTAGGCAAAGAGGTGTTGACAAGGCTATGAAAATGTCCATGAGCTCATGGCCTCCTTTGCACACTTAGGGGCAGGTGTCCCGGGGTCCACAAAGAGCGAGCCATGTCTCCTCCCACTTAAAAGCTTCCATTGTCCCCACCGCAGACATAAAGCCAGAAAAGGATGTATGTAGCCACAGTCCAAAGCCCACATGTGCCCTGTGCCCACCGTAATAACTCGCAAGTGCTGCTAATCTGCATTTTGACCAGGAGAACTTTGGTGCCCACTCAGAAAAGTCATTTGCATCCTGCATGCAGGGCCCCTGACTGCTATATTAATCTCCCCGTTTCTCCCTTCCTGAGTCATCTAATATTGCTGCTGGCTAATTAAAACATCAAAGCGCCAAGTACAACAGCCCTGCCAGAAGCCTCCTAATGCCTGGTTTCAAGTGTGCAATCCAGTGAAACCCAGGGTGGAGGGGGGCACGGCTCACACTCGGGCAGCCAACTACTTGACTCTTAACGACCACCCCTCACACATCTGGGACCTCCACAGATGGCCTCTTTTATTAGTCCTGTTATCTCGTTCCTCCCACTCCCTGGCGATGAAGACTGTCGGCTGCTGCCCACAGGCTCGCACCCTGCTCCTCCTCCTCATGCCTGGCCCCCCACCCTCTGAGTCCTGGGCCCAGACCCGATGTCATCACCACATCTGAAACCGGGTGTGTAGGGAGATGGCTGGGGTTTCTTCCTCTGCGCAAGGTAGGATTTTTTTTTCCTCAATGATACAGGTTGTCGGCATGATCAGAGGAATGTGTTTACTACAAAGCCCTGCCCAGATGTGACTTTCATCACCTCCAAAACTCCTCCTGGAAGAGACAGGAGGGGAGACAGGATCCTAAAGAAGTGTTTAGGGTGCCTGGTCAGGCCTTTGAACAAAGCGGGGTTGTTTGTATCCAGATTCCTAAGGAAACATGGGCACAATAACTGAGACAGAAACTATCAATGAGAAACAAAGGGAAGAACTCATCCAAACCTTTATCATGCTCCGAGTGTGGTAGTGTGGTAATAATACTTGCAGAAGTAATAATAATAATAATACAAGTAATAATAATATAGGTAATAATATAAGTAATAATAGTAATACAAGTAATAATACAAGTAGTAATAATACAAGTAATACAAGTAATAATGCTTGCAGAATCATTGCAGTACTACTGGTAATACTAATACTTCTAATACTATAAGTTGGGCTAGTGGTCACATAATAATAACATTTATAATAATAAATAATGACTAACATTTAGGGGGTGACTGATCATCCAAGTAAGAGATGACTTGGTCAGGGCGCTGGCCAGTGGAAGGGGAGAGGAGTGAATGGATTCTAGAGCTAGTTAAAAAGCTAAGATGGGTGATCACCAGTGATGAGTTGGGTGTGGGAGATAGAGAAGAAGCTGATGACTAAGATAGCTCCCACGTGTGGCGTGTCCAGCACGGATGGTTGGTAGCGCCCAGCACTGAGGAGGACCAGATCTGGCCAGGGTGGGAAGACGAGGAAGATTATGAATCCTATCACCTTCCGTGGGTTCCCTGTGCTGCCACAGCCTGCACCCTTCCGGAGCGATCTTTAACAGTGGGACACTCTTCCCCAACCTCCTGTTCCCCAGGCTCCAACATGGCGCCATGAACGCTTCAACACAGAACTGTTACTCCACTGGCTGCGAAGGTGGCCATGATAGTTCTCTTAACTTAGGACCTTTGCATGATCTGTTCTCTCTGCTTTAAGACCTTGCTTCCTCTTCTTTGTCTGTCTAGGATGTACTCATCTTTTGGTCTTAATCTAGAGGTTAGATGTCTCTTCTATGCGCTTCCACCTCCCCTGTGCTGCCAAGGTCCCATGTAATGGCATCCATTGTGCTAAATCGATTGCCATGGCTCATTCAGTTTTCATCACCTCCTACAGGACTGTGACTCCGTGGGAGCTCACATCCATCTAGTTTGTCCTATGGTCTTGGTCTTTGCTGCCTCACCTGGCACATAGGAACTACTCAATAAACATGTGTTAAATGAATGAATTATTCCTAATGGCCAAGAGGCAGGATAGTCAAGCTGTTAAGGACATGGTTTGATAGCCAGACTGCCTGGATTGGACTCCTTTCTTCAGCTTATTAGCTCTGTGATCTTGGGCAACTTAACCTCTCTGTGCCTCAGTTTCCTAATCTGTAAAATGGAGATAATAAGGTTGTTGCTTGGCACATAATAAGTGCTCATTTAATGTTAGTTATCAGTATTAGTCCTTCGCAGTTCTTTGTGACTTCTATCCTGGACTTAGCACCTTTAATCATAATTCACAGCTACCCTCACCAGCCTGAGCTCCTCCAAGTCAGTGAGACGGGTGCTGTGCCTCCTTTCTGATTTTATCTCCTTACACTTGCCCTCATGCATACGCTGCAGCCACACTCAACCTCCTTGCTGGTCCTTTGAACTTAACAAGCTCATTCCCACATCAGTGCCTTTGCACTTGCCCTTCTCCCCTCCGGTTAGTTACAGTCACCTCCCCATTTTCTATTCTTATCATCACCTGGAATTATACTGATCCTATGTTAGTTTACTTACTGTTTATCTCCACCTCCACCACATAACACTTCAGAGAGCAAGGTCCCTGTCTGTCTTCTTCACTGCTGAATCCCCAGTGCCTATTTATTGAGCATGTATTATAATAGGTGCTCAATAAATACTAGTTGAATGTATGAATACCCTGCCTTAAGGTCACTGTGCACTGATGTACTCTTTGCATGAGTGTCACTTAACATTGGCTCATCTTCTCCCGGACCTTGCTTGGCTTTCGCATCAGGGTGCGCCTGCTGCCCCTCCCTTAGAGTTACTAAGTGACCAATGCTTGCCTGATGCATGTGTGTGCCTGTGCCCAGGCAGGTAGACAATAACCCAGGAGCATCCAAGACAGATGTGATCCTAGGCCAGGCGCGATGGCTCACACCTGTAATCCCAACACTTTGGGAGGCTGCGGCAGGAGGATTACTTGAGTCTAGGAGTTCAAGACCAGCCTGGGCAACATAGTAAGACCCCTGTGTCTACAAAAAATACAAAAAAATAGCTGGGCATGGTGGCATGCACCTGTAGTCCCAGCTACTTGGGAGGGTGAGGTGGGAGGATCGCTTGAGCCTAGGAAGTCAAGTCTACAGTGAGCTATGATTGCACCACTGTACTCCAGCCTGTGTGACAGAGTGAGACCCTGTCTCAAAAAAAAAAAAAAAAAAAAAAAAAAAGACAGATGTAATCCTTATCAGTGAGGTCTAAAATGAATGGGCCAACACTGGTCAGCCTGAGACTTATCCCCACTCACCTGCTGGTCAAATTGTTTGCAGAGTGAAGACAAATGGGGGACTAAAGTTCCCCATAAACAGGCTCTTCCATGGCTTCTTTCCATGTAGGTGTTCAAGACAGAGGGGACGGTAAGTGCAAAGGCCCAGAGGCAGGAATGAGCCTGGAAGTTTTAAAAGTCAGAAACCAGAAATTTGGGGGCAATATTCTTTGCCTCAAATTTTTTCAATTTATTTTATTTTATTTTATTTCATTATTATTTTTCTGAGATGGAGTCTCATTCTGTCTCCCAGGCTGGAGTGCAGTGGTGTGATCTTGGCTCACTGCAACCTCTGCCTCCTGGATTCAAGCGATTCTCCTGCCTCGCCTCAGCCTCCCAAGTAGCTAAGATTACAGGCATGCGCTACCACGCCCGGCTAATTTTTGTATTTTTTAATAGAGACGAGGTTTCACCAAGTTGGCCAGGCTGATCTCAAATTTCTGATCTCAAGTGATCCGCCCGCCTCAGGCTCCCAAAGTGCCAGGATTACAGGTGTGAGCCACTGTGCCTGGCCCAAAATTTTTCAGTTTAAATCTTTGTTTTCTCAGTCCTTGCCAGAAATGGTGAGTTTGGACTGTCACAGAAAGGCCTAGAAATCCAAGTAAATCGACCCAGCTTTAGGTTTGATTCCTCGGTGCTAGGGGCTATTATCATTCAAAGAGGCTGATGGTGTCCTTTCAGTCATGTGTTCATTCAACAAATGTTCACCGAGTCCTTACTCAGTGTGTCAGACCCTATTGAACCAGAGAGACCACCTTTGAGTTCCTGATGCCTCTCCCCAGAGCAGAACCCAAGAGGCTCTTCCATGGTGTTTCTTTCCACGTAAGTGGGGAAATCAGGTTCCCAGGAACCTTGTACATGTCAACCAGGGAGGGCTGGATCTTACTCTGGATATAGACAGTTGGTGACTCAAGGCAGATCCCAGGAAGAACAATGGCTCTCCCAGCCTCCGTGGAGACAATGTTACAGTCCACTCAAGGCCCTGCCTCATCTTCCACCTTCATTCTCTGCTTCAGCCCCCTGCCTCAGGAAAACAGTCCCCCACAAAGAATGGCAGCCCCTCCAAGTGTCCACGCTTCCTCAAAGTCAAGAACTGGGAGACTGACGTGGTTCTCACTGACACCCTCCACCTTAACAGCACATTGGTGAGTACCCCAGCAGGGTATAGACAAGGGGGTGCAGCTGCATCACTGTCCACATTTGGAGTCGGATAAGTCTTTGTTGTGGGGGCTGTCCTCTGTTGTAGGGTGTTGAGCACCACCCCTGACCCTTACCCCCTAGATGTTAGTACATCCCCTTCCAGGTTGTGACAACTAAAAATGTCTCTGACAGCAGAAGCACCGCCCTCTTGGACAAACACTGCCATTTTAAGTTCCAGCTCCCTTTCTTTTTTTTTTTTTTTTTTTTTGAGACGGAGTCTCGCTGTGTCACCCAGGCTGGAGTGCAGTGGCCCGATCTCGGCTCACTGCAAGCTCCGCCTCCCGGGTTTACGCCATTCTCCTGCCTCAGCCTCCGAGTAGCTGGGACTACAGGCGCCCGCCACCATGCCCGGCTAGTTTTTTGTATTTTTAGTAGAGACGGGGTTTCACCATGTTAGCCAGGATGGTCTCGATCTCCTGACTTCGTGATCCACCCGCCTCGGCCTCCCAAAGTACTGGGATTACAGGCTTGAGCCACCGCGCCTGGCCCCAGCTCCCTTTCTAACCTCATGCATTTCAAGGAAATCACCTCCCTTCTAACAACTAGCAGCCAGAAAAGGCAGACAGTAAAACACAGATAAGACAGCTCAGACACAGAGGGAGGGGGAAAAGTCTCTTGGGTAACCACCAAACTTCACACTCATATAATAGGCTCCAGTAAAACAGTGGGCCTTAATAGCATATTCCTTTCCCTTTAGATGCACTAAGATAGGGAAGCTAAAAGCAGACTTGGGGGATATGCCTGCAGCTGCAGGAAAATGTATGGGAACAGACACAAAAATTCTCCCTCCCAGATAAGCAAGACAAAGAGACACAGAAACATTTCAAGCTTGTGATAAACTCTATCACCCTAAACCCTTAAATACTCTTAGTCTGTAGAAAAGAGTGCTCCTCATTAAGACAAACACCTAATATATACAGGGCTTAAAACCTAGATGATGGGTTGTTAAGTGCCCACCATGGCACATGTATACCTATGTAACAAACCTGCACATGTATCCTGGAACTTAAAGAAATAAAAAAGAGTGCTCCTAACCTAACTCAGCCAGAAGCCCCTCTCAGGTTTATTCTTTAAAATAAACCTGTCTCTGATTGTTAAGCCACTTTTCATGTTTCTTTCTTCCTTCTTCAACACTTGCAGTCTCCAAGACATTACCTAACATCCCCTGGGTAAGAAATTCACCCCTGTTTGAGAACCACTGGTGAATTCTCACTCTCTTACGTAAATGCTTTTTATTCGTGAACCCGGTATGCAAAAGAATCTAAGAAGAGTTGCTGTTTGTGAATACCCTCTCTGTCTCTCATAGTCTGACCACTGGTGGAGTATTGAACAAACCCTTCCTTGATTTCACAGTGTGTCCTCAATATTTTTATTTCATATTTTTAATAGTCAACAAACCGCTATATTGTTTTAAATTTTTGTTGAACCTGGGCCTCTTGGAGGAATGGTATCTGCAAGCTATTACAATGTAACAAATTGCCCTGAAACTTATTGGGTGAAAACAACTATTAAAACTATGTATAATTTTTCAAAAGTCTACGGATTGGCTGGGTGGTTTAGTGATCTGGTCCAGACTCTGTTGATTTTGGTGAGGCTTTCTCGTACATCTGTAGGTACGTCTGAGGGGTCAACTAAGGTCAGGGTGGTCTAGGATGGTCCTGGCTGAGATAACTCAGCCCTGTTCCATGTGGTCTCTCCTCTTCCAGCAAGCTGGCTTGGGCTTGTTCACATGTAGTTGCAGGATTCTAAGAGGATGAGCAGAAACATGCAAGAACTCTTGAGGCCTAGACTCAGAATTGTCACAGGGTCATTTCTGCCACATCCTAAGGGTCAAACCAGCCCAGAGTCAAGAGGTTAAGGGATAGGCTCCACTTCTTCATGGAGAATTGCTGTAAAGCCACATCACAAAGGATGTGAATACAGGGAGGGGAAAAATTAGGGCCCTATTTTGCAATCAATCTATCATAGATGCATTCAAATGAGTTACTGTAGCCACTGTATTAGTTCCTCTTTGATCATCATGCAAAATCTAAAAATATTTCAGATTTTAGTACCAGTGATTCTGATTCCTAGTCAAAAAGCTTCTGTTTCCAAGATGAGTAGAGCAAATACTTTAGGAACCTGAAAATGCTACTTAGTGTTCCTTAACATGGCTATGACCATATCCAGCAAGAATTTGAAGCTGGTACTTGAGAAATTGCCTCTGGGAATTAAGGGCCAGGTAAATTCAATCATGAATATGAGATCCAAGCCCACAGCCTAACACCTGCCACTCTTGGGTAAAACCAAGCAATAGCCCAAATCTCTTGATCTTCCAGGAAACGGGATGCACTGAGTACATCTGCATGGGCTCCATCATGCTTCCTTCTCAGCATATACGGAGGCCTGAAGATGTCCGCACAAAAGAACAGCTCTTCCCTCTCGCCAAAGAGTTTATTGATCAATACTATTCATCAATTAAAAGGCAAGTGTATGTCAATTCTGGGGAGCCCAAGGTAAGTTATCGAATGCTGGAGACAAAGATGTCAGCCCCAACTTTGCAAACCAAGGCCAAAGCACAAGGCCAAAGCACAAGGCCTCTGCCATACACAGAGGCTTAAAACTGGCTACCCACAGGTCACATCTGTTCCCCAGAAGTGCTTTTGTTTCACCTGCAAAGGGCTGCTTATAATTTGAAAAATTTCAAGCAATTCCATGCCTAGATACATACCCTAGAGAAATTCTCACACCTGTTCACAAGAAACCATCAGTAAGAATGTTCACTGAAACATTGTTTGTAGCAGGAAAAAATTAACATTAAAGATCCAACAAGATACCAGGCACAGTGGCTCACGCCTGTAATCCCAGCGCTTTGGGAGACCAAGGCGGCAGATCGCTTGAGCCCAAGAATTCAAGACCAGCCTGGCCAACATGGTGAAACCTTACCTCTACTAAAAATCCAAAAATTAGCAGGGCATGGTGGTGCACAGTTATAATCCTAGCTACTTGGGAGGCTGAGGCATGAGAATCGCTTGAACCCAGGAGATAGAGGTTGCAATGAGTCAAAATCACACCACTGCACTCCAGCCTGGGTGAATAGAGTGAAACTCCATCTCAAAAAAAAAAAAAAAAAAGGAAAAGAAAAGAAAAAGAAACCACATAAATGCCATCAACAGGAGAATGGGTAAGTTGTGGTATATTCCAGTGATGGAATACTATACAACCATGAAAATCAAAGGGATTAGTGCTCTGCATGTTAATGGAACTGCAGTTCATAGCTAACTTTGAGCAAAAGAAAGGATAAATTATAAAAGGATACATCCAGTATAGCACCATTTATATGAATTTTTTTATTGATGTATTTTTTTGAGACAGAGTCTTGCTCTGTCACCCAGGCTGGAGTGCAATGGCATGATCTTGGCTCACTGCAACCTCTGCCCCCCAGACTCAAGCAGTTCTCTGCCTCAGCATCCTGAGTAGCTGGGATTACAGGCGTGCGCCCCCACACCCAGCTAATTTTTGTATTTTTTGTAGAGACAGAGTTTTGCCACGTTGGCCAGGCTGGTCTCAAATTCCTAGCCTCAAGTGATCCACCCTCCTCGGCCTCCCAAAGTGCTGGGATTATGTAAGCCACCAAACCCAGCCTATATGAATGCTTTAAACATGCAGAATGACATTGTACATGGTTGAAGGATAGATACACATGTGGCAAAGATATAAACAAGTGTGTGAGAATGATAAATGCCAGGTTCAACATAGCAGTCACTTCCGGGGAGAGAATTGTCTACCTTGGGGAAGCCTTCCCCAAGAAACTATTACATTATTTTTTAGGCTTGGGACATGGGGGTTTATTATATTATCCTATATACCTTTCTGTAAACCAAAAATTTTTCGTAGAAATTTTTTTTAACTTTCTAAAATTGAATTCATTGCCAATATTTAAAAATTAGAAGAGTTCCCTTTAAAAGTCAGATTTCCAGTTTCTCTGGAAAGATTTGGCAGTCATGGGCCCCCGCTCCTGTCAGGTGACAAGTGGCAGGAGTGGAGTCATGGCTGCCTGCTTTGGAAAAGGCCTGGCTCACCTGTTTGCCACAGTCCCCACCCAGCTGGTTGAGTTGTATGTACAATGTTCAGCCTTTGTGGGCATTTGAGTTTGCAGTGTCTGCTTTATCTTGCATCCAGAAATCAAACTGTTGCATCCAGAAGTCAACTTGGAATTTTTTGTAGCTTCCAGCCTCTTGGAATAGCTCTCCCCTTCCACCAACTTCTAATTCAGAAGACGGGGTGATGTTCCCATGTCCCTTCCTCTTCATTCAGATTTGGCTCCAAAGCCCACATGGAAAGGCTGGAAGAAGTGAACAAAGAGATCGAAACCACTAGCACCTACCAGCTCAAGGATACAGAGCTCATCTACGGGGCCAAGCATGCCTGGCGGAATGCCTCACGCTGTGTGGGCAGGATCCAGTGGTCCAAGCTGCAGGTAGGTGGTGAAGTCAGATACCTTGAAGAGCCCATAAATGAAGGAAGAGGGGAATGGGAGTGGATGGAGCTTTAAAAAGGATAAGGTTCTATCAAGTGTACCTGGTGGCCATGGTGACCTATCAGATGGTGGTCATGGGGTCCCATATTCTAAGATCACAGCCAGCTCTAGATGATAATCATGTCTTATTTAGCCAACACAGTGCTTTTGCAAAAATGAACTTGCATATCTCTTGGAAGGGAGGGCTTATACTTTTCAGTTGACCACAGACCTCACCATTCCCTTTTGTCTTGCACCTACTCAGCTTATTTATCTGCCTACTCCCTGAAGGCATTTGTTTCTGTGTCCCTTGGTTATGATTTTATTTTAGGAAATAGTTTAAAGTTGGAAGTAGATTTGTTATCAAGATCAGGGGGATTTTGTTTGATTTTTGTTCTGTTGTTTTTTTTTAATCCCTAATCCCTAGTAACCTAACAGAAAATGTAACCAACACATTTAAACTCCCCTTCATTTACTAATCCTTTCCCATGTTCACTTACATGCCATGCCTACTTTCAGGGGATTTTTTTTTTTCCTGCTCAAATTGGCCTTGGTTATTAGGATAGAAAAGAGAAAATATAAAATGCAGCCTGGGACTCAGTAATGAGGTGCCCACTTCACCAATGGAGCAGCAGCTGGAGTGGGATCTGGGTTCTCCTAAAATGGGAAGATTACGCTGGGGAACTAGGGAGGGAAAGAAGAGGCAATCAGTTCCACCCTGCGCCTCTTCCAGGTATTCGATGCTCGCGACTGCACCACAGCCCACGGGATGTTCAACTACATCTGCAACCACGTCAAGTATGCCACCAACAAAGGGAACCTCAGGTGAGCTGACCAGCTGGGCATTGGGGAGCAGGGGGTCAAAAGTCCCCACAGCATTGTACTTTGACTCTGGAGTCAGCTCACCTGCCAGGGAAATACTCGTCATCTCAGGGAGACAGGCCAAGCAGGGAGACGTGTCCTGGCTTTTTTTTTTTTTTTTTTTTTTTTTTTGAGACAGTCTTGCTCTGTCGCCCAGGCTGGAGTACAGTGGTGTGATCTCGGGTCACTGCAACTGCTGCCTCCCAGATTCAAGCGATTCTCCTGCCTCAGCCTACTGCGTAGCTGGGACTACAAGCACCTGCCACCACACCTGGCTAATTTTTTTATTTTTAGTAGAGACAGGCTTTCATGATGTTGACCATGCTGGTCTCAAACTCCTGACCTCAAGTGATCCACCCGCCTCGGCCTCCCAAAATGCCAGGATTACAGGCATGAGCCACTGCGCCTGGCCCCAGCATCTTTATTCCATACCCCATCCCATGTTCTTTCTTTTCTGGGGCAAGTGGACTCCTGTGTGGTTGGCAAAAGTACAGCAGCAAACATCATGTTCAACCCACAGTTCAGCATCCTTCGTGGAGACGACAGGAACAAATAGTTGAGATTCCCAGAAATCGGAAAATCCTATTGCTGGTGGTGACCTGCTTTTACTGTGTTTTGCTCTGTCGCCTGGAGACAAACCAAACCAAATCTTCCTTGGTTTAAAAGGCAATTTTCTCTTGCCAATGTGATGGGAATTGCCCCTTCAGGTTCCACCCAGCCAAGCCACGCCTTGGACTCCTCTTCAACAATACAAAGAACAAAGCCACAGGGAGCAGTCCGAGGCAGGCAGACATCCACGTGGCTGGTGGCGGCCACGCTGGCAAGTCTCAGCTGGGAGAGGGACAGGTGGAAGGGAACAGCTGGGGCCCCACAGACAGCCGGCTACACTTGTTGACTCTGCTGGCTCACTGCTGCCATAGCATCTGTTCCCAGCCACTGAGCACCAGTCCCATCTTGGAGCCACACAGGATCACTGCAGGGATATTCCCACAAGCCTCCGGGCTTCACTGAGTTCATCCAAAAGTGGCTTCTCTGCATGAAGCATGAGTCTTCTTGGATGTGTCTCTTCTCTTCCTTAAGAAGGAAATGGGGTTTGCCAATGTTCTGAGTTCACCAGTAAGAAAAGGGCCTGTAATCTAAGCCTGGACCCACATGAGGAATTGGTATTTAGGTCTCTTTCCCAAGACAACTCTTTTCCTGGAGACCTCACCCCTTAAAGAATATTAAAGAACCCTCCCGTGTATCTGGACCTGGTTAGGCCAGGTCCTCAAGGAGTTTATGGGTTCTTGGGCTTTCTGGTGTATTTCCTTTTTTTTTTTTGAGACAGAGTCTTGCTCTGTCACCCAGGTTGGTGGAGTACAGTGGCACGATCTTGGCTCACTGCAACCTCCACCTCCCAGGTTCAAACAGCTTTCCTGCCTCAACCTCCCGAGTATCTGGGATTACAGGTACGCACCACCATGCCCAGCTAAATTTTGTATTTTTAGTAGAGACAGCGTTTCACCATGTTGGCCAGGCTGGTTTCAAACTCCTGACCTCAGCTGATTTACCTGCCTCGGCCTCCCAAAGAGCTGGGATCACAGGTGTGAGCCACCACGCCTAGTCTCTTCTGGTAGTTTTCACATGGGGCTGTGAGCAGGCTCTGAGCATCGTCACCCCAAGCCCAGCAGTGCACCTCCACTTTTTTCACTGCTGTATTAGGGGGTCTTTGTGAGATCTATTAAAGAAAACATTCAGCAGATTCTTTTTCTTTTTATAATTTTTAACCCTCATGTCTGAAAACGATGAGAACTATGTAAGAATGTATACCATGCAGCCAGGCGCTGTGGCTCACGCCTGAAATCCCAGCGAGATGGGAGGCCAACGTGAATGGATCACTTGAGCTCGAGTTCGAGACCAGCCTGGGCAATGTGGTAAAACCCCATCTCTACAGAAAATGCAAAAAATTAGTAGGACGTGCTGGAGTGTGCCTGTAGTCTCAGCTACTTGTGAGACTGAGGTGGGAGGATTGCTTGAACCCAGGAGGTGGAGGTTGCAGTGAGCAGAGGTGGAGGTTGCACTCCAGCCTGGGTGACAGAGTGAGACTGTCTCAAAAAAAAAAAAAATGTATATCATGTTATAGGAATAATCTATGCATAAGAGGGGAAGGATAGCAGAGAGAAGAGAGGGAGAGATGCAGGTTTACACTGTGCTCAGGGATGCAGGAGAGTAGAGGCATAGATATGTGTTCTGGTTCCTCCGTTGGTCTCAGTTTCTGCACATAGAGTAGGCATCACACCCCACTCACTGTGTGTGATTCCGGTGTTTCTAAACACACTTTAAAAATATCCGCATTACACAAACACCCTTTATCGGATGTTCAACCAGAGAAACAGCAATGTGTTTTAGTGCTGGAGGGAAAACTGTTTGACTCACTCTGTGTTCATCTCCAAGATGGCGCCTCTGTTAAGAGATCTTTAAGAGCATCTTTGACTCCATGTGATTTTGGCCTTCAGCCTGGATTCTAGACTCACCTTCAGCTGTGATGCATCACCCCTGCAGAATTACATGCTACATTGTCTTGTGTAGAGAGTAAGACCGAAAAACCATGCTCAGAAAGAAGGCCCTGTGAAACTAGATGAGACAGGGGTTGCTGTATGGAGGAAGCGGATTTGAATCAGGTCTTGAACTTGGACGTAAAATGGAAAAGGGGGGTTCCAGCCAAGGGGATCAGCAGGGACACAGTTCTGGACAGAAATGTTTATGTGAGAAGATCTAGAAGCAACGAGTTGGACCCAAGATGCCATCTTTGTGTTGACACAAGAAGCCAGGACCGTGTTTCCATAGCCTGGGATGGGGGACCAATGAGTCCAGCTGGCAAGAGCTCCTGCCGTAATATGACATTGAACTACATTGTGAGAAAGTTATTTTCCTTTTTTTTTTCTTTTTTTTTTTTTCCAATCCTGATGATGATGTCGAGGAGAAAGGCTCAGTTTGGTGCTAAGATATTGTTAACACCTAATACTTGTTGATCTCCCTTTTAACAGAGAGACCAGGGCACCAGATAGGACCTTCAGCAGACAACAGCTTTCCACAATTAATAAAAGAATACAGCCTTCACTGTTGCCTGTTTAGGCAGGCAAAGCCAATGGCTGGTGACCTGCAGTTTTCTTTTAAATAAATAAATGTGAATGCAAATGCAAGCTGATTGCTTTTTAATCAGAAGTCTATAAACTTTGATTTGGTAAGGGGGGTGGGCAAAGTGGATGAGAATTAATGATGACTGGGAGAAGACTGGAATCCGGATTCTGCAGCGCATTACTATTATTTTTTTTTCTTTTTTTTTTTTTTTTTTTTTTTTTGAGATGGAGTCTTGCTCTGTTGCCAGGCTGGAGTGCAGTGGTGCGATCCCGGCTCATTGCAACCTCCACCTTCCGGGTTCAAGCGATTCTCCTGCCTCAGCCTCCCGAGTAGCTGGGACTACAGACATGCACCACCACGCCCAGCTAATTTTTGTATTTTTAGTAGAGACAGAGTTTCACCATGTATGCCAAGGTGGTCTCCATCTCTTGTCCTCGTGATCCGCCTGCCTTGGCCTCCCAAAGTGCTGGGATTATAGGCATGAGCCACCATGCCTGGCCTGTAGTGCATTCTTTTCTTATTTTTATTTTATTTTTATTTTTTGAGATGGAGTCTCACTCTGTCGCCCAGGCTGGAGTGCAGTGGTGTGATTTCGGCTTACTGAAACCTCTGCCTCCAAGGTTCAAGCGATTCTCCTACCTCAGCCTCCCAAGTAGCTGGGATTACAGGCGTGCACCAACACACCCAGCTAATTTTTTGTATTTTTAGTAGAGACAGGGTTTCACTATGTTGGCCAGGCTAGTCTCGAACACCTGACCTCATGATCCACCCGCGTCGGCCTCCCCAAGTGCTGGGATTATAGGGGTGAGCCACTGCCCCCGGCACATAGTGCATTCTTAAGGGGAAACAAGGTCTGATGTTGCCATGGAAATAACTGGCTGCAAAATAACTCTTTGGAAGACTGGCTCAAGTTAATATTATTTAAAAGTCTCCAGCTAGAAAGAGATTCGTTCCTTCAGCATGGTGGCATGGGGCCTCCCACCCCCTCCACCGTTTTCCTCACACCATAGTTCCGGTGGAGGAACAGAGCATGGCCCCTCCCTTCCGACCGCCGCTCCTTTGGCGCTGAGGACCTTGGCACGGAGGTAATCCACCCCGAGCGTCAAGCGGCTGTGGCCCTGGGTGGCACCATGTTTAGTGTATTCTCACAGCGCAAGTCCCGCCCTGATGCCGGGTGTTCCCCTCTCTCCACCACAGGTCTGCCATCACCATATTCCCCCAGAGGACAGACGGCAAGCACGACTTCCGAGTCTGGAACTCCCAGCTCATCCGCTACGCTGGCTACAAGCAGCCCGACGGCTCCACCCTGGGGGACCCGGCCAACGTGCAGTTCACAGAGGTGCGAGCGTTTCCGCCCCCTACCCTGCCCCAACATAGGCTCTTACGTCCCCAGACTTTTATCCACAGACTTTTTCGGGCTTAATACTGTCATCACAGGGACAGCCGCCGATGGGGTCGTTTACTCTTCTCCAAACCTACTTCTCCATCAGGCTGTTCCCCATTCTAATTATTTTACAGCTGGACATTTGGTCACTTTCATGCCATTACCTCACTCAGCCCTCCTGATGGGAACTGTTCTCCCATTTCACAGATGGGTAGACCGAGTCTCACTAAGGCCAAGTGAGTTATTCAAGACTGCTAAATGGGCCGGGCGCGGTGGCTCACGCCTGTAATCCCAGCACTTTGGGAGGCTGAGGCGGGCGGATCGCCTGAGGTCGAAAGTTCGAGACCAGCTTGGCCAGCATGGTGAAACCCCGTCTCTACTAAAATACAAAAATTAGCCGGGCGTGGTGGCACATGCCTCTGTAATCCCAGCTACTCGGGAAGCTGAGACAGGAGAATCGCTTGAACCTGGGAGGCAGAGGTTGCGGTGAGCAGAGATCGTGCCATTGCACTCCAACCTGGGCAACAGAGTGAGACACCATCTCAAAAAAAAAAAAAAAAAGACTGCTAAATGAGTAGAGAAGAAAAGCTAGAACTACAGTCCAAACCTCCTGCCTCTCACCAGGAAAGGAAGAGCCGAGAAATGGAAGCCATATCTGGCATCCACCTTTTCTGAGTTATGAGATATGTCAGTTTCATATCATTCATTCATTCATTTGTTGATACGACAATTTGAGCCACCCGAGCCTTTGAGTAGGCTTGACTTTGCCTGTCACCAGTATCACTACAGTTACTAGTAGCCCAAGTCAATTCATAAAAGCCACGAGGAAAGTGACTACCACCATCTCCCTGCCCAGGGTTCCTTCCAGGTGGTAGTGTGGGCAGGTAGCACAGGTAAGACATGGTAGCTTATACGGACCATGTCCACACGACAGCACAATCACATCCCGGGTCTAGAATGATCTCAGGCACACAGGCCTGCTACCACCTTTCCTTTATCACCCAACTCATACCCTGCTGAATTTCACTGTTGTCCTTTGCTCAAGCCCCTCCCCGGTGGCATCTCCTTGAAAATGTAGCTGGCAAAGCTAAGGGCTGCTCCACTCCTTCCTGGCTGCCAACTTGCCTGTGGCTTTTCTTATGAAAATGTTATTCTCATGAGGAGGGGACTGTAACCAGGGCAACCAGGAGCTGCACCTGTGCCATTTTAGAGGCAGCCAGGCTCAGACTCCCTGCTCCACTTGGCTGAGCACTAACTGTGTACTTGGCTGACCTTGTCTTCGTGGTCACCAGAACATAAACGCCCCAAACTCTTCCTCTTGCTCCATCTCTGGAAACCTTGCTGAGCAGGATGTGTACCATGATTTGGTGCTTCCTCTTTTTACTAAGCACAAAGAATCATTCCAAACCTAACCATGTAATTTTACATTTTGAAACCCTCTAACCCTGCCCTAATAGGGACACCTGTGGCTGTTGGTCACTTGAAATGTGGCCAGTCCCAGTTGAGATGTGTCATAAGACAAAATATACACTGGATCTCAAAGTCTGGGTCCAAAAAAGAGAGGGAAATAACTCATTGATCTTTTTTTTTCTTTTTCTTTTTTTTTTTTTTTGAGACGGAGTCTTGCCCTGTTGCCAGGCTGGAGTGCAGCGGTGCAATCTCAGCTCACTGCAACTCTGGGTTCAAGCAATTCTCCTGCCTCCACCTCCTGAGTAGCTGGGAGTACAGATGTGCACCACCATGCCCAACTAATTTTTTGTATTTTAGTAGAGACAGGGTTTCACCATGTTGGCCAGGATGGTCTCAATCTCCTGACCTCATGATCTGCCCACCTCAGCCTCCCAAAGTGCTGGGATTACAGGCATGAGCCACCACGCTCGGCCCATTGATCATTTTTGATGTTTAAATAGTAATAATATGGATGCATTAGGGTAATATATTTATTAACAAATGAATAGATTCACTGGATTAATAAGTATATTTTTAATTTTAATGTTAAATATATTTAAATACACTCAATAATTTATTATTAATAAATTAATGTTGATATTTAATGTATTATTTGATATATTTATTGGAGGAATAAGTGTGTTACATATTTAGTTTTAATGTCAAATATATAATTAAAATATGTGATAGTAATATTTTAATATACTATTAATAAATTAATATTAATATCAAGGACATTGTTGAACTTTTAGATGAGTATATTATTAAAATTATTTTCTCCCATGATTTGAAGAAGCCTAGCAAAAAAAGATAAAATCAAAATTATTTTCACCTGTTTTTTTTTTCTAATGTGGCTACTGGAAAGTTTTCATTACTTACGTGGCTTGCATTATATTTTTATTGGACAGCTGCTGTAACATGTGCATTTTATACTGTAATTCTAATACATCTGCCTTCATCAAATTCAGCAGATTTTCTTTGTATCTTACAACACCTAATACAAACACAGAGCTGGCAACCTGCAGATGCACTTGTTAGTCAGATTCAGCCCTTGCCCTCTAGGAATTCCAGTGGGCAGGGAAGACCGGGAAAACAATGCTCAGTGCCAGAGGAAGGATTTGCCCTCTGTCCTGTGGGCCCATGAGAAATCATGCTAGTTACTAGGTTAGTGCAAAAGTAATTGTGGTTTTTGCTATTGAAAGTAATGGCAAAACCCACAATTACTTTTGCACCAACCTAATACATGATGATGTCAGGGAGAACTTTATAAAGCAGGTGACGTGATCCAAGAGCCTCCAGAGGAAATGTCTCCTGGGGGCTTGCATTTGGATCTCTATCCACCCCACCCCCACTTCCCACATAAGGCTCATGTTTGTAGGGTGTGGGGTACAGTGGCGTTACCTGGCCGGGTCTGCTTGCAGATTTGCATACAGCAGGGCTGGAAACCCCCGAGAGGCCGCTTTGATGTCCTGCCGCTCCTGCTTCAGGCCAACGGCAATGACCCTGAGCTCTTCCAGATTCCTCCAGAGCTGGTGTTGGAAGTTCCCATCAGGCACCCCAAGTAAGAGGGACCGGCAAGGGGTGGGAGAGGGTGAGTGGGTTTGCCCTGTGCCCCTCTTTGCCCAGCCCCATCCCCCCTGGCTTTCTTTCTAGTCCAGACAGAAGCTGAAAGGGGAAAGGAGGGCTTGGTTCCTGTCCTCACTGCGGGCTTGGGCAGAGTGAGTTCCCTCAAGGAGCAAAAAGACCTCTTTGACCGGCCTGGAGACCACCACCTTTTCTGAACCATCTCACTCCTAAGCCATTAACAAGGACCTGCCCTTCTTCCAGCCCTAAGCATTGAAAGAGCAGAAGCACCATACTGTCTTGTTGTGAGCATGCTTTTTCTTTTCCTGTTCCTTTTTCTTTTCTTTTCTTTTTTTTTTTTTGAGACAGGGTCTGCCACTGTTGCCCAGGCTGGAGTGCAGTGGCACCAACATGACTCATTGCAGCCTCGACCTGCTGGGCTCAAGTGATCCACCCGCCTCAGCCCCTGCAAGTAGCTAGAATTACAGCCACACACCGCCATGCTTGGCTAATTTTTGTATTTTTTGTAGAGACAGGGTTTTGCCATGTTGTCCAGGCCGGTCTTGGACTCCTGGGTTCAAGTGATCCTCCCGCCTCAGCCTCCCAAAGTGCTGGCATTACAGGCATGAGCCACTGTACCTGACCCACATTTTCAATTGAGAGAACTGTTTAAAACTCTATAGGATCTGATGATCCAGTCCTGTAGAGTTTTAAACAGTTCTCTCAATTGAAATGCAAATCAAAGCTACAATGAGATAGCATCTCACCTCAGTTACAATGGCTTATCCAAAAGACAGGCAATAACAAATGCTGGCAAAGATGTGGAGAAAAGGGAACCCCTGTACACTGTTGGTGGCAATGTAAATTAGTACAACTACTATGGAAAACAGTTTGGAGTTCCTCACAAAACTAAAAATTGAGCTACCATATGATCCGGCAATCCCACTGCTGGGTATATACCCAAAAGAAAGGAAATCAGTATATCAAAGAGATATCTGCACACCTGTGTTTCTTGCAGCACTGTTTACGATAGCTGCAACACTAAGGAAGCAACTTAAGTGTCCATTAACAGGTGAATAGATAAAATGTGGCACAGATACACAATGAAGTACTATTCAGCCGTAAAAAAGAATGAGATCCAGTCATTTGCAATGACATGGATGGAACTGGAGATCATTACGTTAAGTGAAATAAAGCAGGCAGAGAAAGGCAAACATCACATGTTCTTATTTATTTATAAGATTTAAAAATCAAAACAATGGAACTCATGGATATAAAGAGTAGAAGGATGGTTACCAGAGGTTGGGAAGGGGGTGAGGGGAAGATTGGGACAGTTAAGAGATGTATTAAAAAAAAAAAATAGAGGCCTGCCACGGTGGCTCACGCCTGTAATTCCAGCACTTTGGGAGACCGAAGCAGGAGGATCACCTGAGGTCAGGAGTTCGAGGCCAGCCTGGCCAATATGGCAAAACTCTATCTCTACTAAAAATGCAAAAATTCCCTGGGCATGGTGGCACGTGCCTATAATCCCAGCTACTTGGGATGCTGAGGCAGGAGAATTGCTTGAACCTAGGAAGCAGAGGTTGCAGTTGAGCCCAAATCATGCCACTGCACTCCAGCCTGGGCAACAGAGCAAGACCCCATCTCAAAAAAAAAATAGTTAGAAACAATGAATACAACCTATTATTTGATAGCACAACAGGGTGACTCTAGTCAATAATAACATAATTGTACATTTTAAAATAAAGAGTGTAATTGGATTATTTGTAACTCAAAGGATAACTGCTTGAGGGGATGGATACCCCATTCTCCATGATGTGCTTATTTCACATTGCAGGCCTGCATCAAAACATCTCATGTACCCCATAAATACATGTGCCTGCTATGTACCCACAAAAATTAAAAATAATAATAAAAAAAACTGTACAGAACTTGGCGTGGATCAAGTTCAAAAGGAATTTGGAGTCATAAAAGTTGCTTCAAGGTCTCAGGCCAGCAACACAAACAGCATTTGCCCTTTGAGAGTGAAGGACACCCGCTGTGAGGCACTAGACTCAAACCTGGGATTGAATAAAATCGAGGGGGTTGCTAACACACTCAATAATAATCAAGATAAATATAAGAATGCAATATTTTTAAATCAAAATTAATGTTTCATTTTATTTTTCTAATTGATGTATAATTGCATATATTCATGAGATATAATGATGTTTTAATATATATAATGTGTAGTGATCAGATCAGGGTAATTAACACACCCATTGTCTCAAACACTTATCCTTTGTCTTGGAAACATTCAATATTCCTTTATTCTAGCTAGCTATTTGAAAATGTATGTTAATGTTAACTATAGTCATCCTACAGTGGTATAGAACGGTAGAACTTATTCCTTTCTAGCTATAATTTTGTATCCTTTAGCAAATCACTCCCCATTCCCCCTTCTCCCTCCACCTCCCAGCCTCCAGCATCCTCTGTTCTACTTTTTACTTCTATGAGATGAATTTTTTTTTTAGCTTCCACCTATGAGTGAGAATATTCAGTGTTTAACTGTTGGTTCCTGGTTCATTTCACTTAACATAATGTCTTCCAGTTCTATCCATGTTGCTGTGAGTGACATGGTTTCATTCTTTTTTATGGCTGAATGGTATTCCAGTGTGGGGAGAGAGAGAGAGAGAGAGAGAGATAAATTAATTTAGAGTTCGTGACTCCAAATTTCTTTTGAACTTAATCCATACCAGACCTGGTAGAGTTTTTTTTTTTAATTATTACTTTTAATTTTTGTGAGTAGATAGTAGGTGTATATATTTTTATATATGTATTTATGTATATATTTATGTGGTACATAAGATGTTTCGATATGGGCATGCAATGTGAAATAAGCACATCATGGAGAATGGGGTATTTATCCCCTCAAACATTTATCCTTTGAGTTACAAACAATCAAATTATACTCTTTAAGTTATTTTGAAACATACAATTACGTTATTATTGACTATAGTCAATATATATTTTATATACATATATATGTGTATCTCACACATTTTCTTTACCTCACACATTTTCTTTATCCATTCATCCGTTGTTAGACATGTAGGTTGATTCCATATCTTGGCTACTGTGAATAGTGCTGCAATAAACATGGAGATGTAGATATCACTTTGACATATTGATGCTCTTTCCCTTTTTTCTTTTTTTTTTTTTTTCGAGACAGAGTCGAGTCTCACTCCAGCCCAGGCAGTAGTGCGATCTTGGCTCACTGCAACCTCCACCTCCCAGGTTCAAGCCATTCTCCTGCCTCAGCCTCCCAAGTAGCTGAGACTACAGGCGCACACAACCACACCCAGCTAATTTTTGTATTTTTAGTAGAGACAGGGTTTCACCATGTTGGTCAGGCTGGTCTCGAACCCCTGACCTCAAATGATCCGCCTGCCTCAGCCTCCCAAAGTGCTGGGATTACAGGCGTGAGCCACTGTGCCCAACCTGATTTCCTTTCCTTTGGATAAGTGTCCACTGGTGGGATTGCTGGATCTTGTGGTAGTTCTTTTTTTTTTTTTTATTTTTATTTATTATACTTTAAGTTCTAGGGTACATGTGCATAACGTGCAGGTTTGTTACATATGTATACTTGTGCCATGTTGGTGTGCTGCACCCATCTCGTGGTAGTTCTATTTGCAGGTTTTTGAGGATCTGCCATACAGTTCTGCATACTCCTGTGCTAGCCTATATTCCCACCAACAGTGTTTAAGAGTTCCCTTTTCTCTGCAACCTCACCAGCATTTGTTATTTTTTGTCATTTTATAATTGCCGTCCTAACTGCAATAAGATGTTATCTCATTGTGGGTTTCATTTGCACGTCCCTGCTGATGAGTGATGTTGAGCATTTTTTCCTGTATTCGTTGGGCATGTCTTCTTTGGAGAAATGTCTGTTCAGAGCAAGTGCCCATTTTTTAATCCAATTGTTTGGGTTTTTTGCTTTTGAAATGTTTGAGTTCCTTGTATATTCTGGATATTAATCCCTTGGTGGATGAATATTTTTCAAATATTTTCTCCCATTCTTTAGGTTGTCTTTTCACTCTGTTGCTTGTTTCTTTGCTCTGCAGACATTTTTTTAGTTTAATATAATCCTGTGTGTTTATTTTTGCTTTTTTGCCTGTGCTTTTGAGGTCCTATTCATAAAATCCTTTCCCAGACCAATATCCTGAAGCATTTCCCTGATGTTTTCTTCTAGTAGTTTTATAGTTTCTGGTCTCAAAGTTAATTTTTTTAAAAAAAAAAAGCACATGATGAACAATATATCAACATTTTCAATAAAGATAGGATCCAGCTCAGGATTGAGATTAGGGTGAGATGAACGAGGTATCATACAAAGGTAGGGTGGAATCCTACATTATTGTTCATCATATATCTACATTCATTTTGATTTTTTAAATGTTGCATTAATTTAAAATATTGTATAGATAAATAATAGCACTGATATTAATTATTGAGTTTTTATTAGGTTGATGCAAAAGTAATTGTGGTTTTTGCCATTACTTTTAATGGCAAAAGTAAACATAAGAGGGAGAAACTATTAGATTGGTTCATAAGTAATTGCAAAACCACAACAACTTTTGCACCAACCTAATAGCTCCCCCCACTTAAATTTTACACCCAAGGATAGTGCCACACCTGCCTCACCCTAGCCCCAGCCTTGGAGAGGAAGCAAGTGTGCTGAGGCTCCTGACACTGCCTGATATCTGGGAATTCACCCAGTTCCTTGGTGAAATGTAGTCTCTACGTTTATTCATTCACTTATTGGCTCATCCAGCACAGTTCATTGTTCCTCATGCAGGCCAGGCACTGTGCTAGCTTCGGGGGCTGACTCAATCCCTGCCCCCATAGTGCTTATGATCTCAATGACAAGAAGTGCTTATACACGTAATTACTCAAATAACCACTTAATTTTAATAAAGTGCTGCAAAGGAAATGTATGGTACCTAGGATGAAATCCCCTGACCAGCTGGGCCTTAGGGAAGGCTTTCCAGAATAAGCATGATTTTAGCTGAAAATTAAAGTATGAGTAAGAACTGAAAGCACAGAAGGAAGGGAGAAGATCCCAGGAGGAAGGGGCTGCCTGTGCAAAGGCCCTGAAGGTAGGAGGGTGCTCAGTCAGGGAAGCAGGAGAGAGGTCCGCACACTTTCTCCTGGACTCACTTTCAGGGTGGGTTTGGGAGAGAAACAGCAGCCTAAGGCAGTAGTTTCCAGGCCTGGATATCCATCTGAAACACCTGAGAAATATGTTAACAATGTACATTCTCAGGCCCCAGCTGCAGAACCTGTGATTGCACAGATCTGAAGCAGGGCCCAGGAACCGTATTCTGACCTTGTCAGTCCCACTCAATCCTTGGCATTTCAGCATCTCTAGATTCAAGGTGTCCCGCCCATGAGACAGCTGCTCCAGGTGAGCTGGGCCCTGTTACTCCCTGCAGGTTTGAGTGGTTCAAGGACCTGGGGCTGAAGTGGTACGGCCTCCCTGCTGTGTCCAACATGCTCCTGGAGATTGGCGGCCTGGAGTTCAGCGCCTGTCCCTTCAGTGGCTGGTACATGGGCACAGAGATTGGTGTCCGCGACTACTGTGACAACTCCCGCTACAATATCCTGGAGGTAAGGACCCTCTCTGGTCACCACACGGAAAAGCACATAGGAGAGGGTACCAGCTCAGCAGTCCCTTTCTCCACGATGAGCTTGGTTGCTTGGAAACTTGAAGGGGTTAGAATAGAACTACAATCCCAGAGAAGCCCCTGGAAATGCCAGGGGCATCCATGTCTTTAACAACGATGAAAATGACAGCAAACACACACATAGCACATAGCACATGCTAACACCATTCGAAGCACTGTTTCTGTGTTCCATTCTCATTTAATCCTCACCTGAACCTTGAGGTATGAGAATCCGCCTTCGACAGATGACAAGCTCAAGGTCACACAGCTAGCGGGCAGCAGGGCTGGGACGTGTGTCTGGTTTGACTTTATGGTCCAAGTTCATTACCACCCCCACTCCACTGCCTCTCGGTCTTAAATCTTGTTAGAAGAGCTTGAGGATGACTGACAAACTCGGGACATATTTAGTGTCTTTTCTAAAAAACAAGGGAGGAGGTTGGCAGTGGTTCCCCACTCTAAGCATTTCTCGGCGGAGGGTCTGATTCCCTCCCGGGCTGAGTCATCCGTATCTACTAAAAAGTGCTGGAGCGGTGCTTCCTGAAGCCCAACTTCGGTGAAAGCATCATGATTGCTGCGTTTTTGTCAGCAAATGTCTCTAACAACACTCTGCTGCTGTTGGATTTGTTTCAAAAGAGGGCCCCGAAAAACAGAGAAGTTAAGCATCGGGCCTGTGTCACACAGGAACTAAGGCACAGAACCAAGATTAGAACCCAGAACCGAGCATCAGGTTTGTGTTGTTAAAAATCCACTGGTTGGCCGGGCGCGGTGGCTCAAGCCTGTAATCCCAGCACTTTGGGAGGCCGAGGTGGGTGGATCACGAGGTCAGGAGATCGAGACTATCCTGGCTAACATGGTGAAACCCCGTCTCTACTAAAAATACAAAAAACTAGCCGGGCGTGGTGGCGGGCGCCTGTAGTCTCAGCTACTTGGGAGGCTGAGGCGGGAGAATGGCGTGAACCCGGGAGGCGGAGCTTGCAGTGAGCCGAGATCACGCCACTGCACTCCAGCCTGGGAGACACAGCGAGACTCCGTCTCAAAAAAAAAAAAAAAAAAAAAAAATCCACTGGTTGGCTGGGCGCAGTGGCTCACACCTGTAATCCCGGCACTTTGGGAGGCCGAGGCAGGTGGATCATAGCCTGGAGTTTGAGACCAGCCTGACCAACATGGTGAAACCCCGTCTCTACTAAAAATAGAAAAATTAGCCAGGCATGGTGGCGTGCACCTATAATCCCAGCTACTCAGGAGGTTGAACCAGGAGAATCACTTGAACTGGGGAGGCGGAGGTTGCAGTGAACTGAGATTGTGCCACTGCACTCCAGCCTGGGCGACAGAGCGAGACTCCATCTCAAAGAAAAAAAAAAAGCCACTGGTATCACTGTGGAAAACAGATGCCAGGGATCCTCAGCTTTGCCACACATTGGAGGGTACCTGGGGGGCTTCGCAATGCCTGGGTCCCACTCATCGGGGTTCTGATGTCATAGGTCTGGGGTGGGCCCTGGGTATCTGCATTTTTGCAGTGTTCCCTAGGAGATTCTTCTGGACAACCACTGATGCATGCAAACTTCTTTTTTCTTTCTTTCTTTTTTTTGGGGGGTAGGGGATTGGAGTCTCGCTCTGTCACCCAGGCTTGAATGCAGTGGTGCGATCTTGGCTCACTGCAACCTCCACTTCCCGGGTTAAACAATTCTTCTGCCTCAGCCTCCCAAGTAACTGGGACTACAGGTACACACCACTACACCCGGCTAATTTTTTTAATTATTATTTTCAGTAGAGATGGCGTTTCACCATGTTGGCCAGGCTGGTCTCGAACTCCTGACCTCAGGTGATCCACCCACCTTGGCCTCCCAAAGTGCCGGGATTACAGGGGTGAGCCACCATGCCCAGCCTAAACAACCACTAATGCGTGCAAACTTCTGGCAGGAAGGAAAAAATGTTTCAGGCGGTTTTCGTAGATGTGGCTCAACTTGCATTTGGGGATTGTTTTTTAAGGAGTTCCCACCCCCCCGCAATTAATTTCTATTCTTTTAACCAAAATAATGCATAGAATAACAATAGCATTGTTCTTCTATACATACTTTCCTCTGTGTGTGTACTTTCCTCTGTCATACACTCCAGCTTTATATGTATTTATGGAAAGCAGCAACAAATTTCTTACTTCCCGCAAATGTGTCGCTGATAGAGACCCCAAGCAGAAACTAATGCCTCAGCCTCGAAGAGTGAGTTAATAAGTCTGCTCTCTGATTTCTGTTTACATTTCAGTTGCAAAGAGTAGTCTCCGGGTAATTGAAATGAGCCTCTCTCCCACCCGACCCTCCAATTCCATCTGCCATGATGTACAAACGTTGACAGCTGGGTCTGGGAGCAGTTTACCCAAACCCAAGAAATTGCTGCATTCTAGTCCCATAATGAGACCTGGGTTCCCACCAGTGACTAGTATTGACAGAGGAAGTGAAAAGCAGGGATTTAATTAATGCACTTGCTATTGGGTCTTCCCTGCTCCTGACACCAGCTCCTGCTTCTGCCTTAGCTGTAACACGCATGTCATGAGTTCCTTTCTTTGCAAGTAATTTTACTGAAGGCATCAGCTGCTTGGAGAGCAGCTCCAAGGTCTTAGATATTAGGCATCTCCCTGGGCTCCAACTCTGAGGCTAGCTGGTTCTGCGGACACTGGACATGTCCAGGCACCTCTCTGAGCCTCAGTTTCCTCATCTGTCAGATGGAGACTGGCAGGGGCCTCATGAGCTCAAAGCACCCATGGCCTAGATGCTAGGTCGTGACCACTCTAGGGGTAGAGTAGGATGGATGAAGAGCTTTTCCTACTAGAAAGCAGATGATGCACTCACAGACCCACATCTCTGTTAAAATGTTCCAGGGGCTGGGTGCAGCAGCTCACGCCTGTAATCCCAGCACTTTGGGAAGCTGAGGCGGGTAGATCACAGGGTCAAGAGATCGAGACCATCCTAGCCAACATGGTGAAATCCCATCTCTACTAAAGTTACAAAAATTAGCTGGGCATGGTGGTACGCACCTGTAGTCCCAGCTACTTGGGAGGCTGAGGCAGGAGAATCACTTGAACCGAGGAGGCAGAGGTTGCAGTGAGCCGAGATCACGCCACTGCACTCTACCCTGGCGACAGAGCAAGACTCCATCTAAAAAAAAAAAAAAAATGCTCCAGAGATCCTGCCCCCTGTGCCTATCACATCTGGAATAACATCCTGACTCCTTGGCCTGTCTTTCAAGATCTTGTACCAGCTAGTCCTGTCTCACTGCCACCAATTACCTCTTTCGTACCACCCTCCTCCAAGCACCCTCTGGCCTTCTTTCTGTATCTAAGATAGCCCAAGCCTCATCCCACCCCAGGGCCTTTGCTCTTGCTGCCCCCTCTGCCTAGAGCACTCCCTCCCCAGATCTGCAGATATCTGACTGCTTCTCATCACTTAGGCCTCGCCTTGCATGCTGTCTCCACAGTGGGCCTTCCCTGACTACCCCGGCTGAATTAGCCCAGCCCCTATATCCCTCTTCATCCCATTTCTTTATTTTCTTCCTAGGAATTAGCACCTACCACTATATTAAGTGTCTCTCTCCCCCATTAGAATACAAGCTTAATAATTAAAGGGCTAGCCAAGTCTCTAGTTTCCTGCTGCTGGTAGGTTCTCAATAAAAATTGTAACTTTTTAAATATTTTTAAATTTTTATTTCATACCTAGTCCAACAGATCAATAAAAAATTTTTGAATGATTGAGTTCATTAGTCTATGAATTCATTGATTAATTAATTAAGAAATTCTTGGCCAGGCAAGGTGGCTCATGCCTGTAATCCCAACACTTTGGGAGGCCAAGGCAGGTGGATTACTTGAGGCCAGGAGTTTGAGACCAACCTGGCCAACATGGTGAAACTCCATCTCTACTAAAAATACAAAAACTTAGCCAGGCATAGTGGCAGATGCCTGTAATTCCAGCTGCTCAGGAGGCTGAGGCAGGAGAATCGCTTGAACCCGGGAGGTGAAGGTTGCAGTGAGCCGAGATCGCACCACTGCACTCCAACCTGGGCGATAAAGTGAGACTCCATTTATAAGAAAAGAAAAGAAATTATTTCATGCCACTAGCCCTGTCCCTCTTCAATCTGAAATCCAGAGGTACTCCAGCCTGTAAATCTGTGTTTCCTTCCTCTTTCAGGAAGTGGCCAAGAAGATGAACTTAGACATGAGGAAGACGTCCTCGCTGTGGAAGGACCAGGCGCTGGTGGAGATCAATATCGCGGTTCTCTATAGCTTCCAGGTAACACCAGGGCCCGCACCACCAGGGTCAAGCCTCAAATGGGAGCTCAAACCTTTCAGAGCCTTGGTGCAGAGGGTCAAGAGACCTTACTGCCAGACACCACCTTTGGGGGGATTGTGTCCATGAACATGGTCTAACTTCCATCCTGCATGCCCTCCTCTCCAGTGTGGATCTTGGGTGGGGACCATTTGATGAAGAGATGAACAGACAGTGGCAGAGGTAGGGGAGTGTTCTGTCTTGTTGCTTAGAGTTCTTTAGAATTCAGACAAGAGGCATCCTTTCTGTCTTGTCATCTCTTAGGGCCTCAGACTATCACATAACAGAGACAAATACTCTTCAACATGGTCAGAAACATATAGGCTCCTAAATGCATAAGGCTGTGCTAAATGGCATTATAGCAGGATGGCTGGAAAATATATCAACTAAGCCACAACACTTTTTTTTTTTTTTTTTGAGATGGAGTTTCACTCGTCGCCCAGACTAGAGTGCAGTGGCACAATCTCGACTCACTGCAACCTCCACCTCCCAGGTCCAAGTGATTCTCCTGCCTCAGCCTCCTGAGTAGCTGGGATTATGGGTGCCTGCCACCACGCCCAGCTAATTTTTGTATTTTTAGTAGAGATGGAGTTTCACCATGTTGGCCAGGCTGGTCTTGAACTCTGACTTCAGGTGATTCACCTGCCTGGGCCTCCCAAAGTGCTGAGATTATAGGCGTGAATCACGCCTGGCCACCACAACACTTTTGAGAGCCAGAGGGGGACACTAGTAATAACTATGCCAGGACAATGGACATCAACTAGGATTCTCCTGGGCCAACCAGGAGATCTAGAGACTAGAATTTGCTCTCTATAATAGGGGCCATCACTGTCCTCTGGGGGCTTCCAGTCTAGGCAGCTAGACCCCCATAGATGCACATGAGAGGCACACACAGCCAGCAGAATGAATGTGTTAAATCAAGCCATGGAGGGATAGGAATAGAAGCCATAGGTCCCCATGTCAGATCTGGTTGGAGTGGGTGCACTGAGGAATGTCAGAGGAAAGGGACAAGTTGAGACAGGGCAAGAAGGAAGGAGGCCACCTCCCTTCTCTCTTAACCATGGAGAATAAGGTTTCAGGAGTGTGGCATGTGGCCTGATGGACTGGTATGAAGTCTGTCAAGCCAGAGACAACAGGGATGTGATTGAGATGAGCAATGAAAACTAGCCAGGCGCTATGGCTCACTCTTGTAATCCCAGCACTTTGGGAGGCCAAGGCAGGCAAATCACCTGAGGTCGGGAGTTCAAGACCAGCCTGGGCAACATGGCAAAATCCCATCTCTACTAAAAATACAAAAAATTAGCCTGGTGTGGTGGCACATGCCTGTAATTCCAGCTACTCAGGAGGCTGAGGCAGGAGAATTGCTTGAACCCGGGAGGTGGAGGTTGCAGTAAGCCGAGATCGGGCCACTGCACTCCAGCCTGGGTTACAAGAGCGAGACTCCATCTCAAAAAAAAAAAAAAAGATGAATAATGAAAACAGAAAAGTGTAGGAAGGGAACAAGGTTTGTGGGCACAGAGAGAAAACATTGCTTGGACAAGATGTGAATTCAAACCCATCAACCACAGCAGGCTCTGGGGCCAGCTTTCCCTGACAGCCAGTCCACCCCACCTCAGCTGGGATGTGCTTGTTTTATTTCTTAATCGACTCATCTTTATTACTTAAAAATGTATATTTTAAGATTTTATATCACCACCCTAAATGGAGAGCCAGCACTGGTTGCCATAAATATGTTAATTGTAATATTAAATAAACAAATAAGCAAACAGAAGGAAAACAAATCAAAGTTGAGCAATTCTAGCTAGATACTGCCTGAGGTTCCTCCCTCTTATTTAAAAAAAAAAAAAAAAAGAGCGGGGCAGTGGATACAGCGGCTCATGCCTGTAATCCCAGCACTTTGGGAGGCTGAGGCAGGTGGATCACTTGAGCCCAAGAGTTCAAGGCCAACCTTGGCAACATAGTGAGACCCTAACTCTATAATAAATAACAAATAAAAAAAGAAGATATACAAACGACCAACAAACATATGAAAAAATTGCTCAACATCACATCACTAATGATCAGGGAAATGCAAATCAAAACCACAATGTGATACCACCTCACTCCTGCAAGAATGGCCATGAACAAAAAATAACCGATGTTGGTGTGGATGCAGTGAAAAGGGAATCCTTCTACAGTGCTGGTGGGAATGTAAACTAGTACAGCCACTATGGGAAACGATGTGGAGATTCCTTAAAGAACTAAAAGTAGGCGGGGCGCAGTGGCTCACACCTGTAATCCCGACACTTTGGGAGGCCGAGGCGGGTAGATCATCTGAGGTCAGGAGTTCAAGAGCAGCCTGGCCAATGTGGTGAAGCCCATCTCTACTAAAAATACAAAAATTAGTCGGGCAGTAGTGGCATGCGCCTGTAATCCCAGCTACTCAGGAGGCTGAGGCAGGAGAATCACTTGAGCCTGGAAGGTAGAGGTTGCGGTGAGCTGAGATTGCGCCACTGTACTCCAGTCTGGAGGACAGAGTGAGACCCGGTATCAAAAAAAAAAAAAAAAAAAAAAAAAAAAAAAAAAAAACCTAAAAGAAGTCATTATACAAAAAAGATACTTGCACACACATGTTTATAGCAGCACAATTCGCAATTGCTAAAAATGTGGAACCAATCGAATTCATGGCATTCGCAGCAACCTGGATGGGAATGGAGACTGTTATTCTAAGTGAAGTAACTCAGGAATGGAAAACCAAACATCGTATGTTCTCACTCATAAGTGGGAGCTAAGCTATGAGGATGCAAAGGCATAAGAATGACACAGTGGACTTTGGGGACTAAGTGGGGAAAGGTGGGAAGGGGTGAGGGATAAAAGACTAAAAATTGGGTGCAGTGTATACTGCTCAGGTGATGGGTGCACCAAAATCTCACAAATCACCACGCATGTAACCAAATACTGTTCCCCAAAAACCTATAAAAATTAAAAATATAAAATATAAAAATTAAAAATATAAAAAGAAAGAAAAGGGCCGGGCACGGTGGATCACGCCTGTAATCCCAGCACTTTGGGAGGCCGAGGTGGGTGGATCACGAGGTCAGGAGATCGAGACCATCCTGGCTAACATGGTGAAACCCCATCTCTACTAAAAATACAAAAAAAAAAAATTAGCCAGGCGAGGTGGTGGGCGCCTGTAGTCCCGGCTACTTGGGAGGCTGAGGCAAGAGAATGGCGTGAACCCAGGAGGCAGAGCTTGCAGTGAGCCGAGATCGCTCCACTGCATTCCAGCCTGGGCAACTGAGCAAGACTCTATCTCAAAAAAAAAAAAAAAGAAAGAAAGGAAGAAAAGGGTGTGGGGTGGGATGGGAGAGAGGAAGATTGGCAAGATCGACAAGAAAGGTGTTAAAGATACAGAAGCACCCAACGAAGACTTTCTTCTGGGTCTAAGTAGAAGGACTGGACAAGAAATGCAAAGAGAATCTCCATTTCACTTCACACTGTTCTAAACCATCTCAGGGACCACCCTTTGGGAAATGCTGCTCTTTGGGGGAGGAAGTCCCAAAATACCCCAGCTTCTCGTACCTCCTGACCCATGTCGCCTCTCCTCCCACAGAGTGACAAAGTGACCATTGTTGACCATCACTCCGCCACCGAGTCCTTCATTAAGCACATGGAGAACGAGTACCGCTGCCGGGGAGGCTGCCCTGCCGACTGGGTGTGGATTGTGCCCCCCATGTCTGGAAGCATCACCCCTGTGTTCCACCAGGAGATGCTCAACTACCGGCTCACCCCCTCCTTCGAATACCAGGTCCTTCCCTGTCCCTGCCTCTTTTCATATTAAGTGTCCTGTATCTGGTGTGTGTGTCACATTTAGGCTCATTTCAACCCAGGCTAGCGCTCTGGACACCCAATAGCCACATGTGGCTGGTGGCTACCATAGCACGGGTCTAGCTGAAAGAACAAGAGAGACAATATGAGTCCAGCATGATGGCTTATGCCTATAATCCCAGTGATTTGGGAAGTTGAGGCGGGAGGGTGGCTTGAGGCCAGGAGTTTGAGACCACCCTGGGCAATATAGTGAGACCCCATCTCTAAAAAAATTTTTAATTAGCAGTCTGGGCATGGTGGATCACACCTGTGATCCCAGCACTTTGGGAGGCCAAGGCAGGTGGATCACCTGAGTCAGGAGTTCGAGACCAGCCTGGCCAACATGGCGAAACCCCATCTCTACTAAAAATACAAAAAATTAGCCTGGCATATGCCAGCTACTCAAGAGACCGAGGCAAGAGAATCGCTTGAACCCAGGAGGCGGAGGTTGCAGTGAGCTGAGATCAAGCCACTCAACTCCAGCCTGGGCAACAGAGTGGGACAGAAAGAAAGAGAGAAAGACAGGGAGAGGGAGAGGAGGAGAGGGGGAGGACGAAGAAGGGGAGAGGGAAAGAGGGTACCGGGAGAGAGGGAGAGCAGGGAGGGGGAGAGGGAGAGAGGGAGAGAAGGGGAGGGAGGGAGGGAAGGAAGGAAAAGAAGGAAGAAAGGGAGGAAGGAAGGAAGGAAGGGAAGAAGGAAAGAAGGAAGGAGAAAGAAAAAGAAAGAAAGAAAAGAAAGAAAAAAGAAAGAAAGAAAAAGGAAGGAAGAGAGAGAAAGAGAGAAAATTAGCTGAGTGTGGTGGCACACCCTGTATAGTTCCAGCTATTTGGAAGGCTGAGGTAGGAGGATCCCTTGAGCTAAGGAGGTCAAGGCTGCAGTGAGCTATGATCACACCACTGCACTCCCGCCTGGGCAACAGAGTGAGACCCCTGTCTCCTAAAAGAGAGAGAGGGATGAAATGAGAGTGAGTAGTCAGGGGTCACAAGAAGAGAGTTTGAGAGGGACTGGGGGCGGAGGGGAAAGAGCTAGCAGAACACTGCCAAGGCCAGACCACCCACTGGGCAAGGACAGCCCCCCCCACCTGCATCCCTACCCCCATGGTGGTCACCAGTGGGCAGAATTCTGGGTCAGGCAGTCACAAGCCTCAGGGGGTCCTGAGCATCCCCAACAGGAGCCAGATGCCCTCACTGCAGTGAGTGACCGTAGCCCTCTCCTCTCTTCCCAGCCTGATCCCTGGAACACCCACGTCTGGAAAGGCACCAACGGGACACCCACAAAGCGGCGAGCCATCGGCTTCAAGAAACTGGCAGAGTAAGTTTCCTGCAGTGGGCGGGTGGGGTGGATGTGCGCACAAACTCAGAGAGCCCAGAGTAGGAGGCTGGGCAGACTCCTGTGCCTTCTGACCTCTCCGTAGGATATGATTTATTTGTCTTCTCCAGCCACCTGTGCCTTCTTTGCCTCTGAGTCTGAGCTGTGAATGTCGTTCCAACTCTTCTTCTTCTCAGCCTCACTTTCCTCATCCCAGTTTCCTAAATTCTTGTCCTGGGGCAATGGTGTGTTGGTGAACCAGCCCTCCTAATAATAATAATAATAGAAATAGTAATAGTAATACTTTGATTTTCATGGTTGCCAGTTTCCATGATGGAAATATTCCCACTATGAACAATTTCTTTTTTTTCTTTCTTTCTTTCTTTTTTGGGATAGGGTCTCACTCTGTTCCCCAGGCTGGAGGGGTCTCACTTTGTTGCCCAGGCTAGTCTCAAACACCTGGCCTCAAGCAATCCTCCTGCCTCAGCCTCCCAAAGTGCTAGGATTACAGGCATGAGCCACTGCGCCTGGCCTAGGAAGTCACTGAACCCAGAGTAGGGAGGAGCTAGAGTTAGTCGGCTCCAGCACACTGCTGCCTGGAGAGCACCCTCGTTCAGAGCTGACCCCTAATTTTACTCATTCGTTCGTTGACTCATTCATTCATTCATTCATTAGCTGGGTGTTGTGGTACACGCCTATAGTCCTAGCTACGCAGATTCTGTGCCAGGCACCATGTGAGGCTTCAGGGGGATCATGGCAAGCTAGACAAACGCTGTCCCTGCTGTCATGAAGCTCACAGCCATTCCTTTGTCAAAGAATCAACAAATACAGTAAACATGGCAGCTGTGGAAGGTACCATCGAGGAATGGTTCCTGGAAGTAATAATGGTTCACAGAGTTTGGGAGGTCAGGGAGGGCTTCCTAGAGGAGGTGACAATTGAGCTAAAGAATGAGATGAACAAAGTTTAAGCAAAGAGGGGCAGGAAGGGGGTTATGGCCTGAGACTACTGAGGAGTGATTTTCCTGAATCATGCCTGACCAGCCAGGGAACCAGCTGACAAGTAGGGTAGGGTTAACTAAGTTGATTTAATGGGGATGCCAGCCTTCTGCCCAAATAAAGAGAACCCCACTGATCCACTTACAAAAGATCGCTGTTTGGAGCTAACTTTTTGTCAGAAGACACTACTCTCTTTCCTCAGCTCCCTCAGGTCCAGAATTCTCTATGTATGATAACTAGTTGTACAACAGGTATCATCTAAGCCTTGGGTCCAAGAGACAAGACACTGACTGGTCTTGCACGGACCCAAACCTAGGTCCTGGTTCCATTAATAGAGCCCATAGAATCAATCAATCAATCTCTCTCTCTCTCTTTCTCTCTCTCTCTTTTCTTTTTCTGTTTCTGTCTCTTCTCTCTCTCTCTCTTCTCTCTTCTCTCCCCTCTCTCTCTCTCTCTTCTCTCTGTCTTCTCTCTCTTCTCTCTCTCCTCTTTCTCTCTCTCTCTTCTCTCTCCTCTCTCTCCCTCTTTCTCCCCTCCCTCCCTCCATCTCTCTCCTTCCACCCTAATCCCATCCCCCAGCCAAGCAAGAACACATCAGCAGCCACCATTTCCCTAAAAAGAATATCTCAGATAGTCTCAGGGAAGGCACTTGTTGGCTTCAGTTCAGCTCCACTGTCTCTGGGGGAAAGGGGAGGGAGAAATCTAAAACATTAATTGCACTATTGAGTTTTGGGTAGTAACAATGGGAATTAATTATAGATGCATCTTTATGCTCAAATTATTCAAAGGGAACCCTCCAGGTACCTTTTATTCCTTTCTGTTTCTTCCCCTTAGCTAAGTCTTCCTGCAGCGTGGGCGGTTTCCCTGATTCTAAAAAATAATGAACTTAACGCCGATAATCCCAGGTGGGGGAAAGTTAGCAACTTGTCTGCAATGAGATTTCTAGTTACAACAGGGAGGCTTGTTCAGGAGTCGAGCGCAGGTATTTCTGAGCCTCTGGCCTGTCTGCTACGTGCCCCCGGAACTCGCCCTGCCCCGTAGAGCAAAAGGAAGAGACACTGGTTTGAGCTTTTCTGTTTAGCTAGAAAGAGGCTGGATTTGATGTTCAGACTCCCCAGGCTCTCAGTGGCAGCATCTTTTAAAATTCATAACTTCTTTTATTTTTTTTTATAAAGACGAAGTCTCGCTATGTTGACCAAGCTGGTTTCAAACTCTTGGCCTCAAGTGATCCTCCCGCCTCAGCCTCCCAAAGTGCCAGGATCACAGGCATGAGCCACTATGCCTATCCCCTAACTTCTTTTGATAGATATTTATTTAGTGCCTATTGGGTATCAGGCTCTGTGCAAGACCCTTGGCATGCATTGCTGAATAAATCAGACCTGGTCCTTCCCTTGTGGACCAACAAACCTCTAAAATCCCATCAAACTCAATGCCTGGTGACTTATTCGTGATTCATTTCTCTCTGTCTTTCTCTCATTCACACATGTGCATACACACATTAGAATATGAGCCCCATGACAGCTGCATGCCATAGCTATGTTCTCTATGGTCTCCAGTTCCTGTAACAATACTGACACATAGTTAGGCACTTAATATTTGATGAATGAAAGAGAGAGGAAATGGATGAACGATCATCTTTTGAGGCAATACTCGGCGCACTAAGGTTCTTAAGCCTGGGATCTATCAAGTAACAAGCTAGCAAAACTTAACTACTTCTTTTAACTCATGACTAATTGCTCTGGTGGGATTTTTTTTTTTTTTTTTTTTTTGATACAGAGTCTCACTCTGTCACCCAGGCTAGAGTGCAGTGGTGCCCAGTGGTGCGATTGCGGCTCACTGCAACCTCCGCCTCCTGGGTTCAAACAGTTCTCTTGCCTTAGCCTCCCAAGTAGCTGGGACTACAGGCACACAGCTGCCACACCCGGCTAATTCTGTTGTATTTTAGTAGAGACGGGGTTTCACCTTGTTGCCCAGGCTGGTGGCAAATTCCTGAGCTCAAGCAATCCATCCGCCTCGGCCTCCCAAAGTGCTGGGATTACAGGCATGAGCTACTGCGCCCAGCCTCTGGTAGGATTTAATAAAGGATTTAATATCCAGCATTATCTCTAGAGAAGTTAAAAAAATAAAATAAGATAAAATAAAAGGATTCAATAATATGGTGCTTAAACACAAGGGCTTCGAATGCCTCTGAGGAAACCCCTGAAGTCATCAAAGATCAAGAGAGTTCTCTTCTGTTATATTTCATGGATCCTGGTTCTTGCACAAAAGTCCCAATCCAGCATCTTCTCTCCCCTTTTCTGTTTCCCATTTCTCATCTCCATCCTCTTCCCTCCAGAGCTGTCAAGTTCTCGGCCAAGCTGATGGGGCAGGCTATGGCCAAGAGGGTCAAAGCAACCATCCTGTATGCCACGGAGACAGGCAAATCGCAAGCTTATGCCAAGACCTTGTGTGAGATCTTCAAACACGCCTTTGATGCCAAGGTAGGTGGGGGGTAGCCCTAGCTCCGCCAGCTTCTCACGGTAAATTAAGGCGGCAAGGGGAGAGAGGGAAGTCAACAGAGAAGAAGCCTTTGGCAAAGGATGAAAGCACAACTGACAATGCCTATCAGCTCACACGCACGTTGGTATAAATTTCAGGGGACTGTGATATCCCTCTCCCCATGAGTCCAGGAGTCACAAAATGAAATTCCCTTCTTTAGTGCAAAATGTTAGAGGGTTTATAAGAAACCATTCTGAGGTCAGTTTGGGAAGCTTTGCCTGAAGTACAGCTCAATGGTTTTCATTGCTGTGGCAGGACTTCCCAGAGCCTGTAATCTATAAGCATGTGTTCTAATCTCCAAAAGAGGCGAGGATAGAATATAGACGTTTCCCAAACATGTTTGATCGTGGATCACTTGTTTTCATGGAGCATCTCAGGAGACTGGGATTTTCTAGAACCTATTTTGAGAAATGTTGCTCAGACGGTGATGAGACACAGGGCAATCATCTTTCCAGAAGGCAGATATCTCAGGCTTGTTTGGTCAGGTGCTCCACGCTGCTTGCAGGAGGATTAGAGAGGAGGTTGAGAAGACTTAGTCAGCTCTAGCCAGATCATTCCCAACCTAACTGGGGTCGGGAAGAATCCAAGACCAATTGACTATAAGAATCCCAAGGGATTCCATCAAGATCTGTTTCTGTGTCTGTCAATCGCTTGAACCATTGCTCCAGACTCTCCACAATCCTTCAGGCCACAGTGACCATAGCAAGGTCCCACACTACCAAAAAGCGTTTAGTTCTACCCACTTGAGCCCACTGAAATACTAACACCCCAGATCTTTCAGTTCTCCTTCCAAAGGAGATGACTCAAAATGACTCACATTTTTTCTTTTCTCTCCTCTTCCCCTTTCCCCATCGCTTCCTGTCTCTCCCACCTCTTTTCTCTCCTCATCCCCTTCTTCCTCTCCCCATTCCATACCTGTGCCCCGCCCACCTAGGTGATGTCCATGGAAGAATATGACATCGTGCACCTGGAACATGAAACTCTGGTCCTCGTGGTTACCAGCACCTTTGGCAACGGAGATCCCCCTGAGAATGGGGAGGTGAGATGAGCTTTTACCTGTTTAAGAGTGTGGTTCCATCATCAGGAAGAAGTGGGAGCCACAGTTGAGACTCTTCCTGTACCTGCTATTCAGTAGCAAACCCTCCCAGAGCCCAAAGCCAGTAATTTCCATTTGGATCCAAGTTATACAAAGGTTGGACAATTCCAAGTACTCAGTCTACGGGTGTCCACTAGTTAGCAAGTCCCTGGTGAAAATGTTGTCACCTAAATAAGCTATTTGTTTGCAATCGCTGCTCCTATCATGAGCTTGATATCCCCTGATGTAGATGAGGAACGTGGGGACAATATTTTTAAGGAAGTCTCCAAAGGGAAGTTGTGTGCTGGAGGTAGGGAGTCCACATCTGTAGTCATTTAAACAGCAGGTGTATCCACTGAGTCTGTAACCCAGGCATTACTGTCCAGCCTGAGCCCCTGACCACTCCTGACATCCTGACCTCCAGGCATCAGTCTCTTCTGTGACAGCCAGGACCCCAGACGCTCAGTGCCCGACCTGGCTTCCCATTTACTAAGATGTGCTAATTTCACCCATATGTTTTCACCTCCAGAAATTTGGCTGTGCGTTGATGGAAATGAGGCACCCCAACTCTGTGCAGGAAGAAAGGAAGTAAGTGAATGACCCCCTCCGATGTCACCCGCCACCCCCTGAGGGTAACTGGACATTGACTTTCGGCACCTGGGGTTCACATTTGAGTTCTGGATGGTGGCCGTACTCTGAAGTCCATTTGTGATGGGTCTTAGTTGTGAGGTGTCTGCAGTCTACTAGGGCCAATATTTTGGTTTCTGAGTCACTTACAGCCTTGTGCCTCAGTTTCCTTTTCTATCAAATAGAGATTATAGCACCTGCCTTGACTTTCTAATTAGTAAGAATCAAATCACAAACTAGATGTAAAAGCACTGTGTGCTGGAGGCGGTGGCTCATGCCTGTAATCCCAGCACTTTGGGAGACTGAGGCAGGTGGATCACGAGGTCAGGAGTTCGAGACCAGCCTGGCCAACATGGTGAAACCCCGTCTCTACTAATAATACAAAAATTAGCCAGGCGTGGTGGCGCATGCCTGTAATCCCAGCTACTCGGGAGGCTGAGGCAGGAGAATCTCTTGAATTTGGGAGGTGGAGGTTGCAGTCAGCCGAGATCGCGCCATTGCACTCCAGCCTAGGCAACAAGAGCAAACTCCTTCTCAAAAAAAAAAAAAAAAAAAAAAAAAAGCACTGTGTAAATACTGTTCTTATTATTATTTTTCTCTCTTTGGGAACCTACATTCAAAATCAGTGCAAGGCAGTCAGGCATGGTAGCACATACCTGTGGTCTCAGCTACTCTGTAGGCTGAGCCAGAAGGATCACTTGACCCCAGGAATTTGAGGCCAGCCTGAACAGCCAGACCTTTTGACAAAAAAGAAAAAAAGTTGCTAAAATCAAAGAATGGAACTTCTTTCCTTAGAAGGTTCCTGTCTGAGGCTCACAGTGAAGTTGCAGCTAATCTAGAAGTTGAGTTCAAAAGATAAGATACATCATAAGACAAAACATACCTGTAGTCAAAAATATGTTTGTAATGGAGCTGCATGTAATGTGGGACTGAGTTCTAAAGGTATTTGACAAAGTAAAAAAGCATCTAATCAAACTTACCATTGACAGCTGGGAGCGGTGGCTCATGCCTATAATCCTAGTGCTTTGGGAAGCTAAGGCAGAAGGATTGCTTGAGGCCAACAGTTCAAACGAGCCTGGGCAATTGCAAGATCCCATCTCTACAAAAAAAATTAAAAATTAGCTGGGTATGGTAGTATGCACCTGAAGTCCCAACTACTCCAGAGGCTGAGGCAGGAGGATCACTTGAGCTCAGGAGGTCGAGGCTACAGTGAGCCATGATTGTACACAGCACCCCAGCCTAGACAATAGAGCAAGACCTTGTCTCTAAAAAATGGAAATAAAAAATTTTTTTTGAGATGAAATTTTGCTCTTATCACCAAGGCTGGAGTACAATGGCATGATCTTGGCTCACTGCAACCTCCACCTCCTGGGTTCAAGCGATTCTGCAGCCTCAGCCTCCCAAGTAGGTGGGATTACAGGCACATGCCACCATGCCCAGCTAATTTTTTTTTTTTTTTTTTTTTTTTTTTTTTTTTGAGACGGAGTCTCACTCTGTCACCCAGGCTGGAGTGCAGTGGAGGGATCTCGGCTTACTGCGAGCTCCACCTCCCAGGTTCACGCCATTCTCCTGCCTCAGCCTCCTGAGTAGCTGGGACTATAGGCGCGTACCACCGTGCCCAGCTAATTTTTTTTTTTTTTTTTTTTTTTGTATTTTTAGTAGAGACGGGGTTTCATGTTGTTAGCCAGGATGGTCTTGATCTCCTGACCTCGTGATCCACCCGCCTCAGCCTCCCAAAGTGCTGGGATTACACTTTGAGCCACCGTGCGCGGCCCAGTTTCGTGTTTTTAGTAGAGACAGGCTTTCACCATGTTGGCCAGGCCAGTCTCAAACTCCTGACCTCAGGTGATCTGCCTATCTCAGCCTCCCAAAGTGCTGGGATTACAGGTGTGAACCACCGCACCCAGCCAAAAAAAAAATTTTATTTAATTACCCTTGAAAAGCCCTTGCATACCCGATAAGGTATAGGACATATGGTATGTGCACACTGAGCTATCTTTCCATTAGGCCAACTCAGTATTTGCTCAAGCATGGAGCAGATCCCTGTGTCTTAAGGTGAATATCAAATGCTCTAGCTGGCTGGTGCTTATTGGCTATGTTAAGCAGAAAATCCTTTCTGAGGCCAGGCACGGTGGCTCACGCCTGTAATCCCAGCATTTTGGGCGGCCGAGGTGGGAGGATCACCTGAGGTCAGGAGTTTGAGACCAGCCTGGCCAACATGGTGAAAATCGTCTCTACTAAAAACATAAAAATTAGCTGGGCATGGTGGTGTGCGCCTGTAATCCCAGCTACTGGGAGGCTGAGGCAGGAGAATCACTTGAACCCAGGAGGCGGAGGTTGCAGTGATCAGAGATTGCGCTACTGCACTCCAGGTTGGGCGACAGAGACTCCGTCTCAAAAAAAAGAAAAGAAGAGAAAAGAAAAAAAGAAAATCCCTTCTGATTTTCTTTGGGCAGAGAACGTACTGCCATATTCACATAAGTTTGATACCCAGGAAACTGACCGTTGCTGAGTCCTTTGTGATCAGCATCGTAGTCCTCACTCTCGCTACCTCTCTCCTTCCCACCCCATCCTGGATGGCCTCCCAGCAGGTTCCCTCTCACCCCTCCTTCAGGGAGAGATAGGGCACCATCGATTCTCCCCTCTAGGTGCCCGGAACCCTTGCGTTTCTTTCCCCGTAAAGGGCCTCCCCTCCCCCATGGTGACACAGAAGTCCACGGTCTGGCTACAGCCCGTGACAGCCAGCACAGGTAGAGTGTGCATGTGTGTACATGTCCACATGTGTGTACACGCATGTGTGTGCGAGTGCGTGCATGCAGGCCCAATACCTGAGCATCCCAGGCCACACATCTAGGTCTCAAGGAGACCTGAGTTCTAGCCTGAGCTGTGTCACTAACTCACTAAGTGACCTTGAGCAAGTCACTTAACCCCCGTGGGCCTCGGTCTTTCTCCTCTGCCAAATGGGGAGAAATTAGCTCTGCCCTACGCACTTCTGTGGCCTATTGGCAGGGTTAAAGGGTAATAACAAAAAGGAAAGCATTTGGAAAAACCTCCAACCTCATACAAATGCACGTGCTGTTATTTTTACCACAACCATCAACCATTCCTCCAACACTAACAACACAGCCACCCCCTGATATATTGCATGACTCAATGTGAGACTATTTTAGGGCAGAAAATACACTTACATATATTTAGAACTTTCCTGATGCTGGAGCAAAAACTTTAAAGAACATCCAGCTTAGAAAACCCTGCTGCCAGAATGCACAATTTCTTTTCTTTTCTTCTTCCTCTCTCTTGTTTTTTATTTTCTTATTTCTTTTTAATTTTTTGTAATTAGATTTGTGTGTTGGGTTTGCTTCTTGAGGTTTGGGTTTTGTTTTGGAGTTTTGGTTGCTTGTTTGTTTGGTCTCAGATTTTTTGTTTGTTTCTGTTTGCTTTGTTTTGTTTTGCCTTACCTGAGAGCACAACTTACCACTTTTAGGGGAAAACTGAGAAATTGGATTTTTTTTTTTTAGTCTGAAGGTTCCTGAGCCTCTCATCTTGAGGTTTGAGTCCCAATGACATCGTCCTTCGCCTTCAAAATAATTTAATTTAAAAATGCAGTCTCTTTCCATGCCAGGTGTCAGTGCTGAACATTGTTCATATTTACTTGAAATGTGAAATGTGACAGAACCCTGAAAAGTCTAAGGACTATAACTTTATGGAAGGACAGTATTGAATGGGATACTCCAGCACTGTCCAGAAGAACTTTCTAGAGAGATGTAAATGTTCTATATCTGTGCTGTCCACTATGGCAGCCACTAACCACACGTGACTCTGGAGCCCCTGAAATGTGGCTGGTGCAAGTGACACCCTGCTGTGACCCAGTGGTTCTCAAAGCTGAATGCACATCAGAATCACCTAGGGAGGTTTGCAGTGTACCAACCCACACTGACTTGCATTTAATTCAAATTAATTTAACTTTAGATAGCCACACTTAGCCAATGGCTGCCATCTTGGACAGCATGGTCTAGTTTCCAGCTACTTAAAGTGAAGTCCGGAGACACTGGCATCTCCTGGGAGCTTGTTAGAAACACAGAACTCCAAGCCAGGTCCCAGACCTACTTAATCAGAATCTGCATTTTAATGAAATCCCAGGATGATTCTTGTGTACATTAAAATTTGAGAAAGGGCCAGGCGCAGTGGCTCACGCCTGTAATCCCAGCATGTTGGGAGGCCAAGGAGGGTGGATCACCTGAGGTCAGGAGTTCGAGACCAGCCTGGCCAATGTGGTGAAACCCTGTCTCTACTAAAAATGCAAAATTAGCCAGGCATGGTGGTACATGCCTGTAATCCCAGCTACTTGGGAGGCTGAGGCAGGAGAATTGCTTGAACCCGGGAGGCAGAGGTTGCAGTGAGACGAGGCCGTGCCATTGCACTCCAGCCCAGGCAACAAGAGTGAAACTCTGTCCCAAAAAAAATTTTTTTTTTGAGAAACAAGAAAGCATGGTCTCATGGTTTAGGGGAGTAGTTAGTTCTGCTCCTGACTTCTTACTGATTAAATCATGTTAACTTTATGGGTCTCAGGTTTCCTGAGTTAAGCATGGCCAGAAACCTTTTTAGTACCAGTAAGACCAAGTATAGATGGACGGTTACCACTGTGGTGGCCATGGGTACGTTGGTAGATTATAGAAGAGACCATGGGAGTGTTATGGTTTGACTCAACATACAAGAGAAGACCCTAGAATCAGGACTTGTCACTTGAAGATCCATCAAGGGTGTTGACCTCAGGAGGGAGCTCCAGGCCAGAGCTCAAAGGTTCTCTTTGGTTTTGGCAGGAGCTACAAGGTCCGATTCAATAGCGTCTCCTCCTACTCTGACTCCCAAAAATCATCAGGCGATGGGCCCGACCTCAGAGACAACTTTGAGAGTGCTGGACCCCTGGCCAATGTGAGGTAAGCAAGGGGATAAGGGGGTCGGGGGTCAGGGAAGACTAAGGCTCCTGGGGAGCTGGACCTAGTTACGAAGTGAGCTCTTCGTCGTGGGGAGGCAGTCTCCCTTCTATGTCCATTCATTTCTCATAAAACCAGCTGCATCCTGGCTGTCTGGGACCCCTCCCACCCATTAAGTCACATTGCCTGGTCTCCCCATGCACCGTTTTTATCCTTTCTGTGACTTCTTTTTCTATACACACTCCCTCAGAGCCCCCTTACCAAAGGTTCACCCCGTTATTTGTGCTGAAGGCTATCAATCTCTGGATATTGCTCAATGAGCTGCCCTTCCCAATAGCTATGGTGTATACTTAATAGAAGCTTCTGTAGACACCCTGCTATGACCCCATGGTTCTCAATCCTGGAGGCTCCTCAGAATCACCTGGGGAGGTTTGCAGCATACTAATACAATAACCAAGCCCCATCTCCAGAGATTCTGATGGAATTGATCTGGAACTGGGCCCATGTGCTGCTTTTTCCTTTAAGTCTCTCCAATTGACTCTAACATGCAGTCAGATTTGACAAATACTGCCCTAACCTCATATTATCTCATGGCCTAGTCACATACTATGAGATAATTTTAGGAAGTACGTGGACAAATATTTTATATTACAACAGTTGTGTATTCAGTCTAATGGGTTCTTGGAAGGAAAGAAAACTGGGATGTCAAACCCTTGGTTTCGTGGATATTGATCAAGACAAGACTAATGTGAGTTGCCCTGTAGGAAGAACCTTCAGGCCTGGCCACAAATCTCTCAGAACTTCACTAACTGAGCCTTCTCCATAATTACTCAGAGCAATGCTTAGTAGATGATATAGATCACTGGTTTGCTAGATGTTGAAATATCTGTTATGTCCTCCAGGACATTTTCAAATAGGCTTTATGTTTTAAAGCAATTTTAGGTTAACAGCAAAATGAGCAGAAAGTACAGAGAGTTCCCACATCCTCCTGTCACTACACACGCACAGTCTCCCCTCCTATCAGCATCCCACACCAGAGTGGTGCGTTTGTTAGAACTGACGCACCTACAGGGACACATCATTATCAGCCACAGTCCATAGTTTACTTTAGGGTTCACTCTTGGTGTTGAACATTCTATAGGTTTTGACATCAGTACATTTTTCAGCTCAACATTGAAACATCAGTTCTGGAGTTTGACAGTCAGACCCATTTTTCCCTTATTAAATCTATCATGGCAGAGGTTGGCAGACTAACGCCTGTGAGCCAAATCCAGCCTGGTCACTGCATATTTTTAACAACCCATGAGCTAATAATGCTTTTCTTACCGATGAACATTTGTAATCAGTTTGATGGTAGAAAACATTACCTTTGAACCCCAATGAAGAAAATGTTATTATTCTCTCCCAAAAAATGAATTCCAGTCTTCTCATAGTAGACCTGTGTTAAAGTATGCTTAAGTGTTATTATTATGTTTTTAATTTTATCAATTGAGAATGTTCAGGAATTTGTTTTCTTTCTTGTTTTGTAAGTGCCTATGTAATAGCTTCAATTTTGCTTCTTGGCCTGTAAGCCTAAAAATATTTGCTGTCTGACCCCCACATATAAAAAGTTTGGCAATGCCGGGCACAGTGGCTCATGCCTATAATCCCAGCACTTTGGGAGGCCAAGGCAGGCAGATCTCTTGGGCTCAGGAGTTTGAGACCAGCCTGGGCAACATGGCAAAACCCCATTTCTACCAAAAATATAAAAACTTAGCTGGGCGTGGTGGCATGCACCTGTGGTCCCAGCTACTCTGGAGACTAAGGTGGGAAGATCACTTGCACCTGGGAGGCAGAGGTTGCAGTGAGCCAAGATGGCGCCACTGCACTCGAGCCTGGACGATAGAGCAAAACTCTGTCTCAAAAAAAAAAAAAAAAAAGGTTTGCCAACTCCTGGTTTGGAGGCTTAAAACAGGCATTTTGAGATCATAAGCTGAAGATTGTGATGGAAATGTGACTAGTAGTGACTGCAGTCTAGGTTCTCAGGCCCACCAAGAAGAATATTAATGAATCAACCACCTGAATCATCATCTGTTGGTGAACACAAGAGTTAGGAGCCTTGGTCCATTGGGGCTACTATACCAAACACCATAAACTGGTAGCTTGTGAACAACAGTAATTTATTTCTCACAGTTCTAGAGGCTGGGAAGTCCAAGATCAAGGTGCCGGCAGATTCAGTGTCTGGTGAGGGCCCACTCTCTGGCTCATAGATGGTACCTTCCAGCTGCGTCCTTACATGGCGGAAGGTCTCTTCAGCCCCTTATGAGGCACTAACCCCATTCATGAGGCTTCACCTTCATGACCTAATCACCTTCCAAAGGCCACTAATACCATGACATTGAGGGTTAGGTTTCAACCTGTGAATTTGGGGGAGACACAAACATTCAGATCATAGGAGTGATGAGCTAGTGAGGAAAAAGTAAAAGCAAGTTCAAAAGCACAAATGAGTTGTTGACAGTGTCAGTGGTAATCGAATATGGCAGACATCACAAACATAAATCACAGAGATTCGGGAAATAGCACCTTAACCAGAAGGCATGACTAGTGCTGGGAGCTCCCGATCTGCACTGGGCTAAGGCTGAGGCAGGTGGCTTCAGGCAGGGATGCCCTTTCGTGTCACCCCTCCAATCAGTCCACATCCAGTCACCATCTCTGTCTACCTGTCAGGCCACCACCCTGCAAGAAAAGGGTAATGTTTTTGGATTCAAGAAGATCATTAGTTAAAAGTATATGGCAGGCTGGGCTCAGCAGCTCATGCCTGTAATCCCAACACTTTGGGAGGCCAAGGTGTGCGGATCACCGAGGTCAGGAGTTTGACACCAGCCTGACCAACATGGTGAAACCCCGTCTCTACTAAAAATACAAAATTAGACCGGGCGCGGTGGCTCAAGCCTGTAATCCCAGCACTTTGGGAGGCCGAGGCGGGTGGATCACGAGGTCAGGAGATCGAGACTATCCTGGCTAACATGGTGAAACCCCGTCTCTACTAAAAATACAAAAAACTAGCCGGGCGTGGTGGCGGGCGCCTGTAGTCTCAGCTACTTGGGAGGCTGAGGCGGGAGAATGGCGTGAACCCGGGAGGCGGAGCTTGCAGTGAGCCGAGATCACGCCACTGCACTCCAGCCTGGGAGACACAGCGAGACTCCGTCTCAAAAAAAAAAATAAAAATAAAAATAAAATAAAATAAAATAAAATAAAAATAAAAATAAAAATACAAAATTAGCCAGGCACGCCTGTATCCAAGCTACTCGTGAGGCTAAGGCAGAAGAATCACTTGAACCTGGGAGACAGAGGTTGCCCTAAGCCGAGATCACACCACTGCACTTCAGCCTGGGTGATAAGAGCAAAACTCTGTCTCAAAAAAATAATAATAAATCAATAAGTAAATGGCAAAATGCTGTCTGATCCCACATACTTTATTTGGAAAGGCTCTGGAATTCTAGGGAAAGGAGGGCAAGAAAGAAGAGGAAGATTAAATGATACAATATGAGTGTGGATTTGAGGGGAGTGGATATTAACCTACATTAACTTTCACCTGTGAGGCACCTGGACCCACCCCAAGTTCATGCTCCAATGATGGAGGGTACCTTCCCAACTTCTCCTACCTTCTTCCTTCCTCCCCATCTCAATCTGTTACCATTTTGTCCCCATCAACCTAAAAAAGAGATTCAGGGGCAGGGCCTGATCCTGTATGGAGTGGGTTAAGTAGTCCCACTCCATGGTTTATCTGAGATGACAGTCTACAGCAGAACACTCTGACCTTAAAAAGTGGGGCAAGGTGGGGTGTTTTTGTCCCATTCATGAACCTGTTGTTCCTGTCACTGTGAGGTCTAGACCTACAGCCAAGACCAAGTTCTAGAAATGTGGCAGAAAGTGTCCGAAGGGCTGTGGACCACCCGTACAGGAGCCACCTAGGACATAGCCCTCCATTTCCTTCCTTCAGTCCAAGTGTCCCCACCTCAAAACAGAGAAACATCTCATGAACTTGACCCCACTGGTTCAAGCACCAACATTTTCTTGGTGGTATCTATACACAGAGGGTCTGTGAAGCAATTTAATTTCATAGACACTACAAGGAATGTAACCAGAATATTTATAACTCTTTCATCCCCTTTTAGAAGAACCTGTCTGATGTGTTGATGACAATTTCTTCTGGTCTCTTCATTAATACAAGTCCCTGAGGACCATTATGTTATAGTTTCATTATCTTCATACTTAAAACTAATCTAGTTATGTCACTCATAGAATTCAAGCCTTCCACTAAAATAGACTAATTTCCCCAGTTGGTCCAGCTTAGAAGAGGACATGCACAAAACAGCCAGTAGTTCCAGGTCATTGCTATCCATAATTTGTCTGCCTTAGAACAAATTAGAATATTCTCCTGATGATGGCAGTAACTAAAAGAGACCAAAAGAAAGGGAGAGAAACACTTGAGAGCCCTTAGGTTTAAAGTGCCCTTCCACAGATGAGCTTGGGGTTGCCTGACCACCATCAGCTAAACATTGTTCTTTTTGAGATACCAGATATATTAGTTCAGGCTACCATAACAAAATACCACAGACTAAGTGGTATTGGCTGTAATTCTAGAACTCACAGACAGCTTAAAGAAAAGAAATTTATTTTCTCATGGTACTGGAAGCCAGAGTTCAAGATCAGGGTGCTAGCAGGGTTGCTTTCTGGTGAGGTCTCCCTTTCTGGCTTGCAGACGGCCACCTTCTTACTATGTCCAGAGAGAGAGAGAGAGAGAGAGAGAGAGAGAGAGAGAGAGAGAGAGAGAGAGAGAGGTCTGGTGTCTCTTCCTCTTCTTATAAGGACACTAATCTTATCAGAACAGGGCTCTACCCTTATAACCTAATTTAACCCTAATTACCTCCTTAAAGGCCCTATCTCAAAATACAATTATAAGGAGATTAGAGTTTTAATATATGAAATTGGGGGGACACATTATACCAGACACTCCCCACATTCCCCACAGTCCCTTAGCATGAACATTCTGTTGTCCCCTTGACAGGTTCTCAGTGTTTGGTCTTGGCTCACGAGCGTACCCTCACTTTTGCGCCTTCGGACATGCTGTGGACACCCTCCTGGAAGAACTGGGAGGGGAGAGGATCCTGAAGATGAGGGAAGGGGATGAGCTCTGTGGGCAGGAAGAGGCTTTCAGGACCTGGGCCAAGAAGGTCTTCAAGGTAATCTAGATCTCATGGACCTACAGGGAGAAGTAATGCTCCCCACACTCCCAAAGACAGCACCTAAACCATCAAGAAGAGAATAAACTTGAGAGAACCCTCAGTACCTCTCCCATGTATCCAGCCAAAATACAACTTTAAACAGCTCAGATAAATTTGGGTGTCCTGAAAGCACATATTTTCTACCCAGAATCCAACATTCTACATTATGGGCAAGGAGTTGGTCCATAAAAAAATTATAGAGTTTTGGAATGTCAGGGCTGGGAGGAAGCCATCCCTCACTCGTATTTGGTATACAGGTACACAGAAAAACATAGAGTTAGTCAACCAAACCAAACTTAAGATCTTGGCAGTCTACCAACTTTGACAAGCGTACCCCTCTTGTGCTAGATCTTCACTGACCAATATCATATGGTAGCCACTAGCCACACATAGCCATTTAAATTTAAACTTCAGCTAATTAAAATTAAATATGATGAATGGGTCAATAAAATGTGATACATCAATGCAATGGAATATTCTTCATCTGTAAAAAATAATGAAGTGGTGATACATGCTACAACATGGATGGACCTTGAAAACTTTGTGCTAAGTGGAAGAAGACAGTCACAAAAGAATATGTATTGCAGGATTCCATTTATATGAAATGTCCAGAATCAGAAAATCCATAGAGAGGGAAGGCAGGTTATTGGTTGCTAGGGGTTATGGGGATGGGAAATGGAAGTGACTACTAACAGATAAAAAAGTTTTTCAGTGTGGGGGGGGGGTGATGAGAATGTTCTGGAAGCAGATAGTGGGAAGGGTTGCATAACCGTGTGGACGTTCTACATGCCACAGAATTGTACGTGTTTAAACAGTGAATTGTATGTTACGTGAATTACATCTATACCTATCTACACAGTTCAAAATTAAATAAGGCTGGGCATGGTGGTTCATGCTTGTCATCCTAGCACTTTGGGAGGCTGGGCAGGAGGATTGTTTGAGCCCGGGAGCTCAAGACCAGCCTGGGCAACATAGTGCGACCTCATGTCTTTAAAAAACTAATTAATTAATTTAATTTAATAGGTTTAAAATCCCATTCCTGACTTCCTCCAGACAGAAGGGAGCGACAGACTCTGCACCCCCACCTTACCAGGAAACTACTGAAGTTCCTGGGGAAGCAAAGTAGAATTTCATGAGAACATGATGGATGTAGAGGAGAAAGCCTATGGTGGCTGTGAAGTCCCTGGTACCATGCATGTCTAACTGATACCTTCTGAGAGTCAGGAATGTGTTGTAAAAATAGAACATGTGCTAACATCAGGAATGATAAAAGCCATGTTGAGTGGCCCAGGTCAGTTTGCTGAGAATAAAACAAATGAAGTTAATTTGAGAGAGAGATTCCTATCCCTGTATTAACAAAAGTATACATGTTTTGTTTTGTGTTGTTTTGTTTTTGAGACAGAATCTTGCTCTGTTGCCCAGGCTGGAGTGCGGTGACACGATCTTGGCTCACTGCAACCTCCACCTCCTGGGTTCAATCTATTCTCCTGCCTCAGCCTCCCAAGAGGCTGGGACACTACAGGCACCTGCCGCCATGCCCAGCTAATTTTTTGTATTTTAGTAGAGATGGGGTGTCACCGTGTCACCCAGGGTGGTTGTGAACTCCTGAGCTCAGTCAGTCCGCCCCCCTGGGCCTCCCAAAGTGCTGGGATTATAGGCATGGCACACAGTTTACATACAACGTTCACTACATTCACAGCTCCACTGAGATTCCAGAATCCCCAATTGTACTTGAAATTGCGCTGGAACTGCTGATGGCTGCGAACTTCCTAGATTGTTAAATAAAATAAATTATAATAAACTGTTATCTTTCTTCAGTATTTAAAAAAAAATCCCATTGTTCAGTTGCAGTAAGCAACTGAGAATACACATTTTGCATTCTCAGTAGCCACAGGGGTAGGGGTTACCATATTAGACAGTGTAGAACCTTTCCATCATGATAAGACATCCTATTGGCCAGAGCTGTTTTAAATTTAAGGCCACAGGAGAATAAATGAACCATGCATGGCCTTCTATCTGCATATGAGGATGACTAAACTGACCATTCTAGGCTGGGAGGTGGTAATGAATGTAGACCCTGCCACTTTTACCCACGCCATCCTAGCCTTGGAATGCATACTCATCAGCAACCCCGGGAGAAGAGTACTATGCAACCTTCTGTCATTTAGATGACACTTTTCATCCTGAAAGCAAATGCAGGTAGAGAGCAAATGGGGAAGCTGAGGCCCCTGGGCTGTGAGGATTTCCATGTGGGGAGGCAGTGTTTATCAGCCTGTTCTTGCATTTCCTCCCAGACAAGGAGAGTTGAAATAATGGCTTTTTATACCCATTGGGATAATTCTGTTGCTTGATTTCCATCAGCCAACCCTGACTGAGCAACCAGGAAGGAAGGCCTGTTAAAAGCCACTGTACCCTTTAGCTGTCAACCTCCTGCTCCCATCCCACTCCCAGCTCTGGCAAACACAAACCTACTTTCTGTCTCTGTAGATTTCCCTGTGCTGGACATTTCATATGAATGGAATCATAATGTGGTCGTTTGTGACTGACTTCTTTCACTTAGTATAATGTTTTCAAGGTTCATTCATGCCGCAGCATGTATCAGAACTTCATCCTTTTCTATAGCCAAATAATATTCCATGGTATGGATGTGTCAAGTCTTGTTAATCCATTCATCCACTGGTGAACATTTGGATTGTTTTAAAGTCAACATGAGGTCAAACAATGGTAAGAACTATTCTTAAAAATTATCATTATTTTGAATTATCTGTGGTTTTATCTTAAAAATAACTCAGGACATTGGCCGGGCATGGTGGCTCATGCCTGTAATCCCAGCACTTTAGGAGGCCGAGGCAGGCAAATCCCTTGAGGCCAGGAGCTCGAAACCAGCCTGGCCAACATGACAAAACCCTGTCTCTACTAAAAATACAAAAATTAGCTGGGTGTGGTGGCACATGCCTGTAATCCCAGCTACCTGGGAGGCTGAGGCATGAGAATAACTTGAACCTGGGGAGGAGGTTGAGGCTGCAGTGAGCCAAGATTGCGCCACTGCACTCCAGCCTGGGTGACAGAGTGAGATTCTGTCTTAAATAAATAAATAAATAAATAAGGACAGCAATTCTTAGAACTGTTAAAATCGAAGAACAAGTGAGCTTGACCAAAAAAAAAGAAAAGGAAAATGTATTTGCAGTCATCCAGACATTCATTCAGTATGCTCTTTCTTTACATAATTCTTAAATATTTAGAGGAAGATGGATTGGGAAATTCTGAGATGTTTACTTTCTTATTTAATGTTAAACCTCTGCACATATTAATTTTAGGAATAAATGACATAATAGAATTATATCTTAAGTGCAGGTTAGGTCCTAAAGTCAATGGCAAATCTGACATGTCCAGCACATCGCAGACACTCAAAATATATAGGATGGATGGATGGATGTATGCATGGAAAGATATATGGATGGGTGGGTGAATGGATGGAAGAATGGATGCATGGAAAGATGGATGGGTGGGTGGGTCGATGGGTAGATGGATGGAAGGATGGATGCATGGAAAGATGGATGAGTGCATGGGTAGATGGAAGGAAGGATGGGTGCATGGAAAGATGGATGGGTGGGTGGGTGGATGGGTGGGTGAGTGGACAGATGGATGGATGGAAAGATGGATACATGGATGGGAGGGCGGAAGGGTAGATGAATGGCAGAGTGGATGAGTGGATGGGTGAATGGATGGAAGGAAGACAATGAAAGGGTAGAGTGAAGAAAGGAAGGGAAGGAAGAAGGGAAGGAGGGAAGGGTTACTGGATGGATAGATGAATGGATGGATGGATGGATGAATGGATGGATGGATGGATAGTTGGATAGATGGATGGATGGGTGGATGCAGATACATGCCATGACTTGGAGCTGTTGGCAAGGAGATCCGCTTGGCTGAAAGAGGTCACTGAAAGCCTTGTGTACACCACAGGCAGCCTGTGATGTCTTCTGTGTGGGAGATGATGTCAACATTGAAAAGGCGAACAATTCCCTCATCAGCAATGACCGCAGCTGGAAGAGAAACAAGTTCCGCCTCACCTATGTGGCCGAAGCTCCAGAACTCACGCAAGGTACCTCCCACCACCCTTCTAGGGAGGCATTCATGACAATGGGGGAAAGGCAGGCGATCTCACCTCCAGAAGGTGCTTAGGGAAGATGGGCTTCATTGCTTTGATCTCCCTTTAGTGCAGTCTTACCAAAATGAATACTTTGCTGCCCTCCCACACTCCGTAAAACAAGTACTGGGAAATGTCTCTCTCTCTCTCTGTCTCTCTAGTAATATGCTGTGTTCTTCCAAACCATCCTCTTCTCAACTTAATTCAACCAGATTTTCTTTTTGTTCTGCACTACCCACAACCACCTCACCCATCCCAACCAATGTCTGCCTCATCTGTTCTCTTCTGTCTCTCATTCTACTCCAGAGAACAGTAGAAGTGTCAGTAGAGGGTGAAGAAAATGCTGCAGAGTGTTTGTTTGTATTAATATTCTGAGAAAAGGTCTCATTATGTTTCCCAGACTGGTCTTGAACTCCTGGCCTCAAGTGATCCTCCCACCTCAGCCTCCTAAGTAGTTGGGATTATGGGCATGAGCCACCTTGCCCCGCCTGGGGAGTTTTTAATGGAACATTCAACACCTTCTCAGGAAGACTGTTTTTCTCCCCACAGGTCTATCCAATGTCCACAAAAAGCGAGTCTCAGCTGCCCGACTCCTTAGCCGTCAAAACCTCCAGAGCCCTAAATCCAGGTAGGAACATCTTGGTTCACTGGGTTACCCACCTATTCTCTCAAATGTCACCCACGATGAAGGACAAGCCCTGTGGACTCCAAGGACTGGCTGTTTTCCAATCATTGCAAAGTGCCATAGAGACTCCCTTGCTGCTTTTTAGCATCCGGAGTTCCTGCTTTCCTTTTGCCAAGCTCCAACCTGAAGGGGTGGGAAAAGGAGATGGTGTTGATCTCATGAAAAGAGGAAAGAAAAAGGTTTTCTGAGTAAGGTTTTTTTAACAGTGGACCACACCCCTGTAGATTTGCTACATGTTCATTGTACCACAGCATCTTAGCTGGAAATCACTTAGTCCAAGTATTTCCTATTATGAATAATTTTTTTAATGTAGCTAAAAAGTGGCTACCCACACTCTGCTTAAATTTCTTTGGGTTGATGGGAGATAAAGTCCTAATCGTTAGAAATTAGCTTAATATCCAATATAACCAGTATCTTTTTATCAAATATAACCAAAGCATGTCTTCCTAGCACTTTATTTTAAACCCAGTTTTACTCTCTGGTGACACCTAAGACAAGTTTATTTCTTTCCAAATGAGAGACCTGGAAATAGCCAACAACATTGACCAATCTCCTCTGGGGCCTGATTCCTTCAAGTCATTCTTTCTAAGACATGGTTTCCCAAGCATCTGGCTTTAGTAAAAGGACACACTCTGTCCTGCTGGAAATGTCACTCTCACCTGGTCACAGTGCAGTGGAGAGTATGTGATCACTGCCAAATGTGCTCAGGTTATTATTACCATCACCAATTTGAACAGGACGCGCTAATGCTGCCTGAGATCTCAGGCATGGTTCTAATGGCCGTTTTGCTTTTCCATTAAAAGCGATCACTGCTGTTCTTAGACATCACGTCTTCTCAAAATCGTCACACCAGGTCTGCTCATCTCTCTACTTGTATAAATAATTTTTCTAGCACTAATGAAAGTATTTGCATAGATCCCTGTTGAATAGAATCTTTTTCTCTTTGTAGTTACAGCAGAAGAATCAAGAATCTTTTCAAGTCTTGATTCTTTGCCCAGCATAGTTCACTGTGCTGTGCTTGGTTCACTGGGTTACCCACCTCTGCTCCCAGGTGCCACCCACAATAAAGGATAAGCTCTTGCTGATTCCAAGGACTGGCTGTTTTCCAATTATTGCAAAGCACCACAGAGACCCCCTTGCTGCTCTGGGAACAGAGGTGGGTAACCCGGTGAACTAAGCACGGCGCAGTGAACTATGCTGTGCAAAGAATCAAGACTTGAAAAGATGTTCTGCTGTAACTACAAAGTGAAAAACATTCCATTCAACGGGAACCAGTGCAAAGACCTTCATTAGTGCTAGAAAAATTACTCGGCCCAGCATGGTGGCTCACACCTGTAATCCCAGCACTTTGGGAGCCGAGGCAGATGGATCATGAGGTCAGGAGTTCAAGACCAGCCTGACCACCATGGTGAAACCCTGTCTCTACTAAAAATACAAAAATTAGCCAGGTGTGGTTGTGGGGGCCTATAATCCCAGCTACCCAGGAGGCTGAGGCAGGCGAATCGCTGGAACCCAGGAGGCGGAGGCTGCAGTGAGCTGAGATTGCACCATTGCACTCCAACCTGGGTGACAGAGTAAGACTCCATCTCAAAAAAAAAAAAAAAAGAGAGAAGAAAAAAGAAAAAGAAAAATTACTTATACAAGTAGAGAGATGGATGGACAGACCCAGTTTGATCAATTTGAGATGTGATGTCTAAGAGTAGGCTCTTGATTAAGCAGTTCTGGGCTCTAACCCCAGCTCTGCCATGCACTAGCTGTGCAGCCTTGGCTAAGCCATTTAGGTGATCTGAGCCCCTGTCTCCTTACCTACATAATAGGAATGATAGCTATGAAGATGACTAATGTTTTTCTAGAGCTCTCTGTGTTCCAAGCACTGTGCTGAGTCCTCTGTCCAGGATCTTTTATAATTCTAACCAGCCTGGGAAGTAGGCACTCTTATCATACACATTTTAAATAGGAACAATGACAACTAGAAAATACAAGTGACTTTCTCAAGGTCACACCGACCTGGTTATCTGACTCCAAAGTCAGTGTGCCAAATGGCTACACAGATGGCCTCACCAGCATTGCAAGGCTGCTAAGTATTAAAAATAAGCTACATAAAGCAACTAGCATATCATAGAGTCCCGTCAGTATTCCTTATCCATCCGTGCTTCATGTCACCTGCAAATTTAGTGTGTATGCTTTCTATGTAATCTTCCAAACCTTTGATAAAAGTGATCAACAGAGCAGAGCCCCAGGGCTCTCATATTCTCTCTTAGATTCTCAAACATTAAAGAAATGGAGTGGGAAATTAATCTCTGAATAATTAGTTAAGTGCAATTCAGAGCATAATGGCCCCTGATATGGAGAGGGACTCCGTATTTGAAATATATCTCTTACTACTTATTTTGGTCCTATGGGAAGGGATGATATAAGTAGCATTGCATGAGAAGGCCTAATAATCTACTGGAAATTTCCTTCAGCAACAAACTATGAAAGATCAGCTTACAGAATTTACTCCCAAAGCCATAGTACATAAGTAGCAAGGAAACTTGCAAATGTTTTGATACTAAGTGAAACCAAAAGTCCCAAAATCAGCCCCCACCCCCGCCCATCCAGAGGAGGCACCTGACTCTAAGCGACGGGTCTAAAAGTGACTAGCAAGAGAATATTCCAAACAAGGTTAGAACTGGAGTGTAGAATTCAAATCAGTTATGAATTAGCACAAAAAGGACCCAGTCTTACCTCCGTGTTTCTCTCTTTAAAAGCATGTTCTCTATTTTCAAGCTTACAGTGCTTTAAAAGCACTACCTATTTTCAAGCTTAATACCATTTCCAGCTTCATAAGGCTTATTTAAAAAAAGAAGAAAAAGGAATAACTGAGTGAAAAAGCATGACTCTCCCGTTTTCTCCTGCCCGAGGCTGAAGTTGGGCTGTCTGGCCTAAAAGGCCACGACCAAGATATCACTAATCCCCCTACGAGAGACCATTAATTGCAGGCAAAGTGCTTATGAGGAAGTAGGCCGCCTTTTGAGGATGATCCTTGAAAATCTAAAGAGAAAAGTGACCGCAGTCACCATCACAGCCTGGAAATAAATTTTCTAATGCACGTACAACAATTAGCAAATGACACAGAAGAGAGAGCATAATGGATGGCTGGTGTGTGGGGTGTAGACACCAAGTCCTAGAAATCAGGAGCAAGAGGGGAATGCAGGACTTGAGATGAACCTCTTATGGGAGGGTGGGCTTTAGAAAGGCGGGAAAGAGGAGGGGGGTCCAGGAAGGAAGAACAGCAGAAGTTAAGGTCAGCACCGGGATGTCTGGGAGAATGGCAGACATTACAATGCAGAGTTCTTGATCGGTAGAATGCTTCAGTCTCATCTCCCCTCGAGTAAAATAGCTTCTCTCCAGCCTTCCCCAAGGACATCAACATTTGGTTTCAGTCAAAACCTCCAGTGTCATCCTCACTCCTCTCTCCCTCTCGCCTGGGTCATGCAGTCGCTCAGCAGATGCCCTTGGCCTTGTCTTTCAACTACATCTCAGACCCACCACCTTGAGCAAAGCCATGGGCATGTCCAGTCTGACTGACTGGAATAGCCACCCAACTTGTCTCTTGGTTTCTGAGCTTTTCTCTAAAAACACCGGTTTCCAAAGAGCAGACAGAGGAATCTTTCCTTTCTTTCTTTCTTTTTTTTTTTTATTATTTTATTTTATTTTATTTTTGAGGTTAAGAGTAGAAGTTTAATTGATGAAAGAAAGGGCTGGGTGCGGTGGCTCACACCTGTAATCCCAGCACTTTGGGAGGCCAAGGCAGGCGAATCACGAGGTCAGGAGTTTGAGACCAGCCTGGCCGACATGGTGAAACCCCGTGTCTACTAAAAATACAAAAATTAGCTGGGCATGTTGGCAGGTGCCTGTAATCCCAGCTACTCGGGAGGCTAAGGCAGGGGAATCACTTGAACCCGGGAGGCAGAGGTTGCTGTGAGCCAAAATCGCACCACTGCTCTCCAGCCTGGGCAACAGAGCGAGACTCCGTCTTAAAAAAAAAAAAAAAAAAAAAAAAGAGCTCTCTGCTGAAGAGAGGGGTCCTGGAGAAATGGGTTGCCAGATCCACGGTGAAATGCACGGGGGCTTGGGGGTTTACAGATGTCTAGTGAGGAGGCAGTGTTTGATTTACATAGGACGCAAAATATTGGTTGGACCAGGCGTGTCATTTGCATAGGGTGCGAAAAACTGGTTTGGACTAGGTGTCCTACTTGTATAAGGTGTGAATTTCTGGCCACCCCCATCCTAATCTTTTACTATGGAAGCGGGTCGTCAGACAGAGGAATCTTTTAAAACCGTGAATTGAAGCCTATCACTCCCCGGCTTCACAGCCCCTGATGGTCTGCTGGACTTCAGGAAACCTCCAAACTCCTTCCCATGGCAGGTCATCATGAGGCTCTTGTGATATGGCTGCTACTATTGTCCAAACAAACACTCCAGCCTTCTTTCACTTCCTTGAACATGCCACCTTTTCTCTGCCTCTGGGCCTTTGCACGTGCTCTTCCCCATCCCTGGAATGCTGTGCCTGCAGGTCTTTGCACGTCTCTGCTTAAATGTCAAATCGCCAGAGAGGTCTCCGTGACTGTCCTATCGACATAGCCTACTCCCCTCAACCCATCACCACCCACTCATCCACATCACCAACCCCACCTGAGATCTTTTAAGTGACTTCTCAATGAGAATAGGGCACTTTGCTGTCCTTCCCCATCACTCTCTCACCAGTGCCTAGAACAGTGCTTGGCACGCAATGTACGGGTGTTGAATGAATGAACCTTGTTAACTTGAGCAGTTCACAGCTGACAATATTTATCCTTTTCACTGAAAAATGCACATTTTCTGGGTTTTTTTTTTCCATTTAATGCTGGACATTAGCAAATTATTCTTTTATCTGCAAACCTATCATTGAGCCACCGCCAAGCATGTGTGTGTATGTGATGCTTCTGGATGTGACTAGAAATAAATCACACAGAGGGGACACTCGGGGGAGAAGGAAATAGGGCCCAAATGGTGGCTGCTGTTCCATTGCCTCTTCCCCTTCTCCCTGTACTTCTCATATGGCCCGTATGTGTCCCAAGCTTTAAGAAAAAATAAAAAATAGGCCAGACGTGGTGGCTCACACTTGTAATCCCAGCACTTTGGGAGGTTGAGGCGGGTGGATCACCTGAGATCAGGAGTTTGAGACCAGCTGGCCATCATGGTTAAACCCTGTCTCTGCTAAAAGTACAAAAACTAGCCGGGCATGGTGGTGGGCGCTTGTAATCCTAGCTACTCTGGAGGCTGAGGCAGGAGAATCGCTTGAACCCAGGAGGTGGAGGTTGCAGTGAGCCAAGATCTCACCACTGCACTCCAGCCTGGGCAACAAAGAGAGACTCCATCTCAAAAAAAATAAAAATAATAATTTTTAAAAATGTTTAAAAATTATCCACTTACAAAGCTCAGCAGAACTGAGATTTAAGACAATTGGTTTATGAGCCAGTGCTACTCCCCAGAGGGTCGGCTTCCCAGCAAAGCATCAAAGACCAGCCCACCAAGGTGCCCTGGGGCACCTGGGGCCCTGCGGCCATTCAACGCTGGGAGTTCTCAGCAAGCACCCCCAAGCAGCATGCGGAGTCCCCTTGATTAAACTCCCCTTGATTAAACTCCCAGCAGGGCCAGAGCCTGGACCCACCTTCTAGCCAGCCACTTTCCCATGCCTGCTCCTTGTCTGCACGGCCACCCTCTGCCTCGTTCAAGAGGACTTGGGGGGAGGTGGCTGTGCTCGTGAGCTAGCTCAGCAAGTTTGGGTCCTCTGCGTTTCTATTTTGTACAAATCGTGATGATCTGGGAAGAAAGCGGGAATTGATTTGCGGGCCTTTCAAAGGCTTCCTTTGGGTAAACTTAGGAGGCTCCCAAATTAGAAACCCCACAGCGCCCCCTGCTGGCCCTGGCTTCTAACTTCTTGCAGCTCTCTGGAGGTAATGTCTGCTCCCCAGGAACCAAAGACTGGTGTGAGCTCTGAGAAGGCTCAGTCGTGCAGGTTCCCAGACAGGGCAAGATCTGCCCAGGGAGGGAGAGTGGGACTCCAGACCTTAATACTACCATTCACAATTATGGTCGCTAAGTTCCCCACTATGCTAAGGGCAGGGATGCCTTGCTTCAAGAAAATACTTGACACCGTTTCTTCCCCCAAAATAATATGCCCGCTCAACTCTTTTTAATAATGGTGGCTATTTGTAGCACAAAGGGGTTCTTGGTTGAGCCAAAAACTCCTTTAAATAGCGAGTCCCATTGGGCTATTCAAGTGTTGATTTACATACCATAGAGAATATAGAAACTTCATGTTGAATATCAAGCGTCTCTATCCACTGAAAACTCATTGGCAATGAAGAAAAAGCAGGTCTGAAAAAGCAATCATAGCTCAAAGGGTGCAAAAGATTTGATTTATCCAAGTGTAGTTGATCCTAGAGTTTGCAGGTATTGTGTAAAATGCAGTATACTGTACTGAAAGGTTTTTGTGGGGTTCGTTTTTTTGTTTTTTGGGTGGCGGGGGTGGGGGATATACTCTCTCCCTATTGCCCAGGCTAGAGTGCAGTGGTGTAGTTTCGGCTCACTGCAACCTCCACTTCCTGGGTTCAAGTGATTCTCCTGCCTCAGCCTCTGGAGTAGCTGGGATTACAGACGCGTGCCACAATGCCCAGCTAATTTTTGTGTTTTTAGTAGAGATGGGGTTTTGTCATGTTCGCCAGGCTGGTCTCAAACTCCTGACCTCAGGTGATCCACACACCTCCACCTCCCAAAGTGCTGGGATTACAGGTGTGAGCCACTGCGCCTGGCCTGTACTGAAACTTTTTAAAGGACCAGAATAATCACATTCTGAGAGTTTGTTCTTGAAAGCTGTTGGATTAGCACAGGCCTCCTGAACCTGAAACACAAAAATCAATGCAGAAAGGTTATAACCCGGTAGGCAACAGTGAGTTTCCTTCTGTGTTGTCTTTTTAGATCTCTCAATGTTGTAATATTGATGAGTTTATGCATAGGAGGAACCCAAGCTTAAAGCCAAGTCTTTTTTCCTTTACTATTACAACACGAGGAACCCTGGTTGCCAAAGGCGGTGGGGCTTGCAATTCCTAGGAGATGTAGGATTTCACAGATTGGGAATACCACAGTCTGTGGTTACAGTGAAGTGCTAGACACTGAGAGAACCCCTATTAGTACTGAGAATGGGGTGCTAGAATCCAAAAGAAGGGAGTTGAGAAGGAGAGAGTGAGTAGTTATGCCCAATACTGCTTCCAGATCCAGATGAAACCTAGGAAGCAGCCATTGGATTTGCAGTGAGGAATTCACTGGTGACCTTGACAAAAAGCCTCAGTGTAGAATGATGGCTGAGCACTGTGGCCCTTACCTGTAATCCTAGCACTTTGGAAGGCTGAGGTGGGAAGATTGCTTGAGCTCACAAGTTTGAGACCAGCCTGGGCCACATAGGGAAATTCCATCTGTACAAAAAATTCCAAAATTAGCCAGGCATGACAGTGCCTGCCTGTAGTCCCAGCTACTTGGGAGGGCTGACGTGGGAGGATCGTTGAGCTTGGGAGATAGAGACTGCAGTGAGCCGTGATCGCACCACTGCACTCCAGCCAGGGCGACAGAGCAAGACCCTATCTCACCATAATAATAATAGAATGATGGGGGAATAGGCTTGGTTAGCACAGGCCTCAACAAGAATGGAAGGAGAGAATTGCAGCCAACAGGGACAGACAGAAGAGCCAAAGAAAAGGAGGAAGTAGCTGCTGGCCCTTGTCCTTTGATTCCTCTGCAATTTCCTGCAGTCGGTCAACTATCTTCGTGCGTCTCCACACCAACGGGAATCAGGAGCTGCAGTACCAGCCTGGGGACCACCTGGGTGTCTTCCCTGGCAACCACGAGGACCTCGTGAATGCCCTGATCGAGCGGCTGGAGGACGCACCCCCTGTCAACCAGATGGTGAAAGTGGAGCTGCTGGAGGAGCGGAACACGGCTTTAGGTAACATTCCCAGGGGCCCTTCCCTGCTCTAGGGAGCTGCAGAGGCAGTGGGTGTCTGGGGAAGAGGAGACCCATTCTTCCCAATCACCAGTCCAGGCAGGAGAGTGGGTCTCTGTTGCTAGCAGCCGATGAGACACTGAAGATTTTCCCCTTTCTCATGGCTGATCAACCTTGGGCCAACCAGCTGAGCAAATAAATGCACACAGTGCCAGGCCATCGATGGCTCACCATTGGGAGAAGGGGGCTGCTACCTTCCTTCATTGACTAGACGTGGATGTTAGCAGTAGCCACTCTTTTTACTTTCCATCCTCACCACTAACCCTTAGGAAAATCTCTAGTACCCCATTGCCCACCAAGTAAATAACAGCAGAAATCTGATCCTGCCTCCTCTTAGAATCAAAAGGTACTATAGGAAGCTCGATGGCCAACGAGGGATTGAGCCCACATGTTTTACCTCATTAGATCAAGCTCTCGCCTGCTTAAGTGTCCATCCTTGACATTCATATTGAAGAACTTTCAAAGGCAAATGGGTCCCAGTGCTTCATCCAGGAGCACAAGTGGGCTCAAGGGTCAGGTACAAGGAACTGCAGTGACCTTACCTGGCAGACCAATACAGGCCTGTCACTTTTACAAAAGAGCTAGGATGTGAAGTCAGGATAGAATGTGAAAGTAGCATATCGTCAAAGCCCTGCTGAAAACCTCTCAGGAAGACACTACGTTAGAGAGACATACCCTCTTTTTTTTTTTTTTTTTTTTTTGAGACAGAGTTTTGCTCTTGTTACCCAGGCTGGAGTGCGGTGGCGCAATCTTGGCTCACTGCTGCAACCTCCGCCTCCCAAGTTCAAGTGATTCTCCTGCCTCAGCCTCCTGGGTAGCTGGAATTACAGGCGCATGCCACCACACCAGCTAATTTTTTGTATTTTTAGTAGAGACGGGGATTTCATCGTGTTGGCCAGGCTGGTCTCAAACTCCTGACCTCAGGTGATCCACCCGTCTTGGCCTCCCAAAGTGCTGGGATTACAGGCATGAGCCACCACACCCGGCTGAGACATACCCTCTCTTAATAAATCCTGGCTGAGTGAGGTGGCTGACGCCTGTAATCCCAACACTTTGGGAGGCTGAGGCAGGCAGATCATTTGAGCCCAGGAGTTGGAGACCAGCCTGGGAACATGGTGAAACTGCATCTCTACAAAAAAATACAAAAATTAGCCAGGCATCAGGCCGAGTGCGGCAGCTCATGCCTGTAATCATAATCCCAGCACTTTGGGAGGCCGAGGTGGGTGGATCACCTGAAGTCAGGAGTTCGAGACCAGCCTGGCCAACATGGCAAAACCCCGTGTCTACTAAAAATACAAAAAATTAGCCGGGCATGGTGGCACATGTCTGTAATCCCAGCGACTCAGGAGGCTGAGGCAGGAGAATCGCTTGAACCCGGGAGGCAGAGGTTGCAGTGAACCGAGATCGCACCATCGCACTCCAGCCTGGGTGACAGAGCGAGACTCCATCTAAAAAAAAAAAAAAAATTAGTAGGGCATGGTGGCTCACGTCTGTATTCCCAGCTACTCAGGAGCGTGAGGTGGGAGGATCACTTGAGCCCAGGAGTTCAAGGCTACAGTGAGCTGTGATCGCATCACTGCACTGTAACCTGGGCAACAGAGTGAGACCCAGTCTAAAAAAATAAATAAATAAAATAAAATAAAATAAATCCAACCCAGACAATACTTCCTCTATGTTGAAATAGAGCTTTTTATTTGGGATCGAACCCCTGATGGAGGAGAGGCTTATATTTAGGGACATATTGGAGGAAGAGTATATAGAGGGAGTACAATATAGTAGTCAGAACAAGGTCTGAAGCCACCCTGCCTGACTTCACGCTTATGAGCTGTGTGACCTCGGGCAAATTTCTTAACCTCTCTGTGCTTCTATTTTTCTCAGCCGGGAGAAGAATAACACTGTCTTGGATTGTTGTGATGATTAAATGAGTTAATATAAAATACTAATAATAGTACTCGGCACATAGACTGTGCTAGATAAGTGTTAGTGTTTATAATGACAAACACTAACATCCCATTCAGGGGGTGAGAGGCTGACACCATCCCATGATACATGGGGCTGAAATAGGCTTATCTCTGTCACCCACAGCTGGGGGCTCATTGTATAGAACGCCAGTGGACTATGCCATGCTATTTTAATATTTTTCTCCTCTCTTCATGTATTTTTCTTAATTTTTGGATTCATTTGCATAATTAATTTTGGATTTGCTTCTTGCACACATGAAATCCCCTGGATTCTGGGCATGGAAGGTGGAGAGCTAGAAGGTTGCTTGGCTCTGGAGCCACCCTCCTCACCTGGCCCCATCCTCTGCTCCAGGAGCAGACCTGAACCCCCGACTTAGACTCAAGCCCTCCCACACCCACCCCTCACCCGCCTTGTACCTCCACAGGCGTCATCAGTAACTGGACAGACGAGCACCGCCTCCCACCCTGCACCATCTTCCAGGCCTTCAAGTACTACCTGGACATCACCACGCCACCAACGCCCCTGCAGCTGCAGCAGTTTGCCTCCCTAGCCACCAATGAGAAGGAGAAGCAGCGTCTGCTGGTCCTCAGCAAGGTGGGTCCTCAGGCTTCGCACAACCCTAGGGAGCGCCTTTCATCTCCTCGTCTTTAAAGAGTTGAAAACTGTTATTACCAGGCTTCCAGCAGATGGCAGTCTTGAGCCAAGGGGGCCATTATTTGCTGTAGGTCGCCATATTGGCTGGTCCAATGTGGCTAGTCTGCCCCCAGTTCTAAGGCCTGGCAGAGCAAGAGTGACTCCTTTGAATCAAACAGTTCCCTGGCTACAACTGAAATTGCTATTCTTTCTGTCTTCCTTTGGAACCTTGGGCTTCCATTAGTGCCATTTTAGGCCATGCTTAGGAGAAAAACAGGATCTCACCATGCCTTGGTTTAAAGATAAGGTTTTTTCTTGTTTGTTGTTTTATTAAGTTTTATGGATACTTGGTAGGTGTATGTATTTATGGGGTACATGTGATATTTTGATACAGGTATACAATGTGTAATAATCACATCAGGGCAAAGGGGGTATTCACCCCCTCAATCATTCATCATTTCTTTGTGTTGGAAACATTCCAATTCCACTCTTTTAGTTATTTTTAAATATATAATGAATTATTGTTGACGATAGTCACCTTGTCTAGATCTAGGAAATAGTAGATTTTTTTTTTTTTTTTTTTTTGTCCCTAAGACAGAGTCTCACCCTCTAGCCCAGGCTGGAGTGCCGTGTGGCACAATCTCAGTTCACTGCAACCTCCATTTCCCAGGCTCAAAGGATTCTCGTGCCTTAGCCTCCCGAGCAGCTGGAATTACAGGCACCTGCCACCATGGCCAGCTAATTTTTGTATTTTTTTCTTTAGTAGAGATGGAGTTTCACCATCAAATTCCTGACCTCAGGTGATCCACCCACCTCAACCTCCCAAAAATGCTAGGATTAAAGGCATGAGCCACCACGCCTAGCCTAGATCTTATTCCTTCTATCTAACTGTATTTTTGTACCCATGAACCATCTCCACTTTCCCCCACCCCTCCCCACTACCCTTCCTTGCACTGGTAGCCCTCCTTCTACTCTCCGTCTTCATGACTTTATTTGCTTCTAGTTTTTAGCTCCCACAAATGAGTGAGAACATGCAAAATTTGTCTTATTGTGCTTGGCTTCTTGCACTTAACATGATGTCCTCCAGTTCCATCCATGTGGCTGCTATGATGAGATTTTGCCAATGCAGAGGAGCTGCAGGTGGAACTACTAGAGATCAGAGGTCTCTGATTGTAAAATGAACCAAACGTAGCCTCTACCACCTTGCTTAGAAATCCTGGGATCACCTGCCCCAGCCTGCTGCAAAGCCTTGCTCAGTGAGAATTCTACCCAGGAGAACGGCCCACACTGCTACCAATGGGGGCTCCTTCCCAGAAAGCAAGCCCCCAGCACAGGATGGCTTAGCTTTTTTCTGCCGTCCAGGAGGAGGGGATTGAATGGTGAGCAGCAAGGAAGAGGCTAATTAGCGAGTGCGTAGTATTTAGAAATATGAAAATAAATACCAGAAGGAACACTTAAAGAGCTGTAAGTAGTTACCTCCGGGGAGTAGGAAGCAGATGGCAGAGGTAGAACAGGAGACCATTATTTTTAATCATAAGCTTTACAAAGTTATTTAACTTTTTAGACTATCTGCAAGTATAATTTTGATTTAAAACTTTTAATTAATGGGGGAGGGTGGCTAATAGGAAGAAGGACTGTAGATTGCACTGTTGGTACCTTATTAGATTGCACTGTTTTTACCTTATTTAAAGAAGAATTTGGGCACAGTGGCTCATGCCTGTAATCCCAGCACTCTGGGAGGCAGAGATGGGAAGATTGCTTGAGGCCAGGAGTTTGGAACCAACCCGGGCAACATAGACCCCATCTCTACAAAAAAATTAAATTAGCTGGGCATCATGGCACATGCCTGTAGTCCCAGCTACTCAGGAGGCTAAGGTGGGAGGATCACTTGAGCCCAGGAGTTCGAGGCTATGGTGAATCACGATCTTCCAACTGTACTCCAGCCTGGGTGAAAGAGCAAGACCCCATCTCTATAAATAAATAAATAAATAAATAATAGGCCGGGCGCAGTGGCTCACGCCTGTAATCCCAGCACTTTGGGAGGCTGAGGCAGGCGGATCACCTGAGGTCGGGAGTTTGGGACCAGCCTGGCCAACGTGGCGAAACCCTGTCTCTATTAAAAATGCAAGAATTAGCTGGGCGTGGTGATGGGCACCTGTAATTCCAGCTACTCAGGAGACTGAGGTAGGAGAATTGCTTGTACCCAGGAGATGGAGGTTGCAGTGAGCCGAGATCACACCACTACACTCCAGCCTGGGTGACAGAGCAAGAATCTGTCTCTAGATGGATAGAAGATAGATAGATAGATAGATAGATAGATAGATAGATAGATAGATAGATAGATAATAGATAGATAGATAGATAGATAGATAGATAGATAGATAGATAGATAGAATTTGATATAACCCATGTGTATTAGTTTATTTCTTCCAAAAAGTGCAGACTTCAAGACAGGATTAAATGAGCAAGGATTTTTATTAGGGGAAACACTTATGTGACATAAAGTGGAAAGGGATCAGATAGGGCTGGGAGAACCACCAGACCTCAAAACAAATCTAACGCCAGCCAAAGGAAAAGGAAGAAAGGTGGGATGAGAACGTTCTAGACTGCAGTGCAGTTTAAGGAAGGCCCAGCAGGGTTCTTGAGGAGTCCTGGAGACTCCTGTGCTTGGTCATTGGCAGGGAGCAGCCTGCGGGAAGGCAGGCCTGGCACCAACAGGGTGATGGATGTCCGTTTCAGGTAATGTCAGTTTCAAAGAGTTGAAAGGCCAGGGCTCTTTGTCCATTTTGCTCCTGCAGTTGCAGGCCAGTCAGGCTGGAGGTCTGAGAAGCACGATGTCAAGGATGCCATCGCCTATTAATAAGGCCAGAACAGGCCGGGCGCTGTGGCTCACGCCTATAATCCCAGCACTTTGGGAGGCCGAGGTGGGCAGATCACAAGGTCAGGAGATTGAGACCATCCTGGCTAACACGGTGAAACCCCGTCTCTACTAAAAATACAAAAAATTAGCTGGATGTGGTGGCAGGCGCCTGTAGTCCCAGCTACTCGGGAGGCTGAGGCAGGAGAATGGCGTGAACCCTGGGAGGTGGAGCTTGCAGTGAGCCAAGATCATGCCACTGCACTCCAGCCTGGGCAGCAGAGTGAGACTCCATCTCAAAAAAAAATTAAAAATAGATAAATAAATAAGGCCAGGACAGTCTTTAGAAACTGGGGAAAATCTTTGTTATACAGTGCACTGGCACGCTGGTCTCAGAAACTGAGCCTTCTGTTCCAGCAATCAGAGACTGCCTAGGGCATCTTCTGAGATTAAGGAAAAATAACTCCAGAGCTCCAGAGAGTTCCTCTGTTGCCTGGTTACAGCTGGGCTTTGCTGTCAACACGTCCCCAAACATGGTCCTCCACACACCCCAACCTGATTTTTCCGGGGCTGTCACTCACCGCCATGAACATGACCCAAGCTCTCCAAAGATGCATCTCCAGATTCTGCAACCAACAAATCACAGGTCTCCACCGAATGCTGCCACTCCCCGCGTGAGTCATGACTCCCTTCTATAGTGCGTCTCTCTTGACTTCAGGAGTGTGTAGTGACTAGAAACACAAATTCTGAAGACACACTGTCTAGAGCAAGGCTCAGTTTCACCCAGCATCACCACCTAGTAGCCATAGGACCTCTATCACCCTCAGTTTCTTCATATATAAAATGGGGAAACAGTAATACCTATTTCATAAGGTCCTCATGAGAATCAAAACAGCACAGAATAATTGCTATTCAAGTGTTAACTGTTATTGCTCTTTCTTTTTCTTTTCCTTCTCTTTGTCTTTTTCTTTCCTTCTCCTTCCTTCCTTCCTTCCTTGCTTTCTTCCTTTCTCTCTCTCTCTCTCTTTCTTTCTTTCTGTCAACAGGGTCTCACTCTGTCACCCAGGCTGGAGCGCAGTGGTGTGATCCTAGCTCACTGCAGCCTCAAGCACCTGAACTCAAGCAGTCCTCCCACCTCAGCCTCCCAAGTAACTGGGGTACTGCAGACATCCACCACCACATCCAGCTAATTTTTCTTAAATTTTGTAGAGACAGGGTCTTACTATGTTTCCCAGGCTGGCCTTGAACTCCTAGTCTCAGGTGATTCTCTCTCCTCCGCCTCCCGAAGCACTGCGATTACCAGCATGAGCCACTACACCTGCCAAGTGTTACTTTCACTTTGCCTTCTTCTTAGACCCCCTCAGGTCCTCATGGGAACTATGTAGCAGCTGGGTTCAAGCTTGTCTCTGTCGGTCTCCTTGGCACAGGGTTTGCAGGAGTATGAGGAATGGAAATGGGGCAAGAACCCCACCATCGTGGAGGTGCTGGAGGAGTTCCCATCCATCCAGATGCCGGCCACCCTGCTCCTGACCCAGCTGTCCCTGCTGCAGCCCCGCTACTATTCCATCAGCTCCTCCCCAGACATGTACCCTGATGAAGTGCACCTCACTGTGGCCATCGTTTCCTACCGCACTCGAGGTGGGCGGAGGCACTGGGAGAGCCTCCTCGGCTGCATTTTCCCCCGAGGGGCCTCTGGAGGGCTCCCTAAACCACTGCCTGCAGGCTAAATCCCAAATCCCTGGGAAGAGACACACCCCCAAGACCAGAAAACTGGGGGAAGAAGCAGCAGGTGAACTGTCCCCTGATGCAGAGAGAGCCAAGCCTGAGCAGAATTAGGAAAGAGGCAAGACGTGTATTTGCAATGGTGCCCCCTCATATCCCCAAAGCACCAGCTAGAACAAGCCACCACCACTCATTCCCTGGGAGAGCGCTCTGCTGTATCAGGCCCAGCTGGTTGCAAGTCAGATAACCCAAGCTCTGCCCTGTCTTTTTCCTCCTAGATAAAGCAATTAAAATGCACAGTGCCCGTCCCAGGAGTCCAGCAAGCCACCAAAAGCACCCTTCTATAGGGAAGGATTTGAATCCGAACCACCCCTACCCAATAGAACCCTGGGTGGTTGTATAGGCACGAAGTCACCCCAGCTGTACCGTTTCCTCTTGCCCTTCAGAGGAAGGGATCCTGGGGAGGAATTCCAAAGGATAAACTTGGCACTGGGCCTGTGAGCATTTTGCATTGGAGGGAGGAGGGGAGGCCGTGCTTCAGAGCAGTGGGTGGTCCTGACTGCCTTGGTTATTCTGCTAGATGGAGAAGGACCAATTCACCACGGCGTGTGCTCCTCCTGGCTCAACCGGATACAGGCTGACGAAGTGGTCCCCTGTTTCGTGAGAGGGTGAGTAATAAGTGGAGAAAAATGAGCAATCATCTCAAATCTGCATATTGATGTTGCAAGTTGAAGTAGGTGGACCGGTCTGAAAGGTTCTAGAGAGGTGACTGGGTGGCACACAATGGAGACCAATGTCCTGCGTCTCTCTTAATTGTTAAGGAAACAAGATCAGAGCAGCACAGCAAGCTAGGCAAGTCCTCTGGTCGACGTCAAGTCAATGCAACACACATTTCACTTGGGCGTGTACTGGGCTAGATGCTGGAGCTATCGGGGAGAACCCTGCAAATACAGTCTCCACCTTCGTGGACTGTATGGGCTAGTGGAAATTCTAGCCAAATTCTGCTGGTCACTCCCAATCAGTCCCAGTTTCCTGGTGATGGAAAAAATCCAATCACCCCCATTCATTGGCGCCTTTCCTCCCAAACTCAGCTTTAAAGGCTATAGCTGATCTTAGACCAGTTATAGTTAACCTGTTTTGTCGATCAATAACTTCTCTATCTGAACAGTGGCTTTAGCCAATCCTTTTTCTCAACCACTGAGGTTAGAATGTTCACAATATGGTCCACGTGCCATTGAAAACGATCCAAATATCATTGACATCAGAGTCCTCTGGTGTTTCAAACATAGCGTCCTGAACCCAGATGTACTGCATGGCCCAGGAATCTGCATCTTGAACATCCCCAGGTGATTCTTTTACACACTGAAGTCTGTGACTCCTTGATTTAAAGATTTCATTGTTGGTTAAACCGGTGGCTCTGGGCTGGGTGCAGTGGCTCACGCCCATAATCCCAGCGCTTTTGGAGGCCAAGGCAGGCAGATCACTTGAGGTCAGGAGTTTGAGGCCAGCCTGGCCAACATGGCGAAACCCCATCTCTACTAAAATACAAAAAAAAAAGGTAGCCGAGGGTGGTGGCAGGTGCCTGTAATCCCAGCTACTTGGGAGGCCGAGGCAGGAGAGTTGCTTGAACCCGGGAGTTGGAGGTTGCAGTGAGCCAAGATCACCACTGCACTCCAGCCTGGGTGACAGAGTGAGACTCCACCTCAGAAGAAAAAAAAAAAAGAAAGAAAAGAAAAAAGAAAAAAAAATGGTGGCTCTCAAACCAGGGTGATTTTTGCAGCGCCCCACCCCATCCCTGCCACCCAGGGACATTTGACAAAGTCTGAAGACATTTTGGGTTGTCACAACTCACGTGTACTCCTGGCACCTCGTGGCTGGAAGCCAGGGATGTTGCTCGATACCCTACAATGCACAGGACAGTGCCACGACCAAGGAGGTCCACCCCCAAGTCTCAATGGTGCCAGTGTAGAGATACTTTGGGTTGAATTTGCTGAGCCCAGCAGTGAGGAGAATTGGGGAATGGAAGAATAGCCAGACCCTGAGGACCCCCCATTTTGGAATTCCCTTAATCGGTGAGACTCCCACCCTGAAAAGGGGCACCTGGCCCCGGCTGAAGAGCCGTAAGTCTCATTGTATGTCTACCGAAGACAGCCACCTGGTCTACCTAAGATTCAGTTGTTCTTGATTGGATTTGACCTCTTCAAGACTTCTGACCCCCTCTTCCTTGCCCAGAGCACCCAGCTTCCACCTGCCCCGGAACCCCCAAGTCCCCTGCATCCTCGTTGGACCGGGCACCGGCATTGCACCTTTCCGAAGCTTCTGGCAACAGCGGCAATTTGATATCCAACACAAAGGTGGGTTACAGTCCAGCGGCTGCCTGGTTCCCACCCCCAGACCTGGGGAGGTCCAGCTGTGTCTCAGCAGCCCTAGAGAATAGTGAAGGTGTCACTCCATGGCGTCACTGCCTCAGAGAAGCCGGGGCGTGTAGCACCAGCCTGACCCACAGGTGAAGTTCATGGTGTCATCCAAACAGCCTGTCCCAGGGGCCTGAAATTCCAGGCCCAGAGGACATTTGTTAAGATGTGATCCCTTCAAAAAAAATAATCCAATAGCCTGGAAAAGGTAGGCGTTAGTCCTTATCAAATGGCTATGCTTTTGTAATTATTGCAAAGACTGTTATTCAAGAGCAAGTGCTGTGTGAAAGACACAGCAGATCAGCTTCGGCAGGAGAGAGAAAGAAACCCAAATTGTAGCATGCACTAAACAAGGATTTATTGAGCACCTAATAAGTGCCAAACACTCTTGGAGCATAGCAGTGAACAAGACAGAAAAACAACTAAAACAGAAATGAAAACCTTTCCATTGATTCGAGGGATGATTACAAAAACAAATCAATCAATCAGTCAGTAAAACTTGCCCCCATGGAACTGTCATTGTAGTGGATAGCTAACATTTATAAAGTACTTGCCAGGTATCAGGCAGAGTTGTAATGTTTCACATTCATTTCTCAACAACAGTCCTGTTATATCCATTTTGCAAATAGGGAAGCAGAGGCTTAGAAAGTTGAGTACATTGTGGCTGGATGTGGTGGTTCACACCTGTAATCCCAGCACTTTGGAAGGCCAAGGCAGGTGGATCACTTGAGGTCACGAGTTTGAGACCAGACTGGCCAACATGGTGAAACCCTGTCTCTACTAAAAATACAAAATTAGCCAGGCATGGTGGCCCACATCTGTAATCCAAGTTACTCAGGAAGCTGAGACGGGAGAATCACTTGAACCTGGGAGGCAGAGGTTGCAGTGAGCCAAGATAGTGCCATTGCACTCCAACTTGGGCAACAAGAGTGAAACTCTGCAGGTTTCACTCTGCAGGTTGCAGTGAGCCAAGATCACACCACTGCATTCCAGCCTGGGCGACATAGTGAGACTCCATCTTAATAATAATAGTAATAATAAAAAGAAAAAGGCCAGGCACAGTGGCTCACATTTATAATCCCAACACTTTGGGAGGCCAAGGTGGGCGGATCACGAGGTCAGGAGTTTGAGGCCAGCCTGGCCAACACAGTGAAACCCCGTCTCTACTAAAAATACAAAACTTAGCCGGGCATGGTTGCAGGCGCCTGTAATCCCAGCTACCCGGGAGGCTGAGGCAGGAGAATCGGTTGAACCCAGAAGGCGGAGGTTGCAGTGAGCCGAGATCGCGCCACTGCACTCCAGCCTGGGTGACAGAGCAAGACTCCACCTCAAAAAAACAAAAAAACAAAACAAAAAAGTTGACTAAGTTGTTCATCACAGAGCTGAGATTTCAATCCAGGCCATCTAGCTCCAGAGTCTGGGCATCAGGTGGGGGCTCCTGAGTAGTCAAGGAGCAGAAAGAAGGATTGAGACCTGGGAGGGAGGTCCACTAAAATTGAACACACGTCACCTCCTTCCTCAGTGTGTGCATGTGTGAGCATGTGAGCACCCACCTGCGTACATGTGTGTGCACGCATACATCTGCCTGCCCCAGTGTTCGTGAGCCTCTATCCGCATGGCGCACGCTAAGGTCTCAGTTCCCCATCCCTGGCACCTCAGCCACCCCACACATCAGGCAGAGAGCCATCGGTGACATAAGGTCTTCCCGGTCCCCAGGAATGAACCCCTGCCCCATGGTCCTGGTCTTCGGGTGCCGGCAATCCAAGATAGATCATATCTACAGGGAAGAGACCTTGCAGGCCAAGAACAAGGGGGTCTTCAGAGAGCTGTACACGGCTTACTCCCGGGAGCCAGACAAACCAAAGGTAACCCCCAGCAGCGCATCCCCCAGCCCAGCCCAACACATGTGCACACTGGTGCACACTCATGTGTGTACACACTTGTACATCCCACTCTCAGAAACCCCTCACCCTCACTCTTAAGCTTCCTGATTTCCCTTCTGTGAAGTTGCTCTCTACTTCAGAAAGCATGGGTAGGGAAAATATCTACGTAAAATATTTAACAGGCCGAGCACAGTGGCTCACGCCTGTAATCCCAACACTTTGAGAGGCCAAAGCGAGTGGATCACTTGAGGTCAGCAGTTCAAGACCAGCCTGGCCAACATGGTGAAACCCTATCTCTACTAAAAATGCAAAAATTAGCCAGGCATGGTGGTGCATACCTGTAGTCCCAGCTACTTGGCGGGCTGAGGCAGGAGAATCACTTGAACCCAGGAGGCAGAGGTTGCAGTGAGCTGAGATCGTGGCACTGCACTCCAGTCTGGGCAACAAAGCAAGACTCCATCTCAAAAATATATATGTGATACAATAAAGTATTTAACAGCCTATATTATAAGATTCAACTTATATGTAATATCCAGAATAGGCAAATCCATAGAGACAGAGTAGATTAGTGGTTGCCAGGGGCTGAGGGAGGGGAGAGTGGGGAGTAACTGCAAATGGGTATAGGGTTTCCATCTGGGGTAAAGAAGAAAGTTCTGGAACCAGATAGTGATGATCCCATAACACTGAGAAGGGTACTTAATGCCACTGAGTCGTACACTTTAAAGTGGTTACAATGGTAAATGTTACATGACGTGTATTTTACTGTAATGAAAAATGTTGGGCCAGGCACCGTGACTCATGCCTGTAATCCCAGCACTTTGGGAGGCTGAGGTGGGAGGATCACTTGAGTCTGGGAGTTCAAGACCAGCCTGGGCAAGATGCTTAGACCCCGTCCCTACAAAAAAAAAAAAAAATTAAGTTAGCTGGGCATGGTGGCATATGACTGTGGTCCCAGCTCCTTGGGAGGCTGAGGTACGAGGGCAGCTTGAGCCTGGGAGGTCAAGGCTTCAGTGAGCCGTGATCATGCCACTGCAACCCACCCTGGGCGACAGACCAAGACTCTGTCTCTAAACAATAAATAGTTAGAAATAAAAATTTAAAATATTTAAAAACAGAAATTTAAAAAAATAAATTTAGGCTGGGTGCGGTGGTTCACACCTTTAATCCCAGCACTTTGGGAGGCCAAGGCAGACAGATCGTTTGAGGTCAGGAGTTCGAGACCAGCCTGACCAACCCCATCTCTAATAAAAATATAAAAATTAGCTGGGTGCAGTGGCGCATGCTTGTTAGTCCCAGCACTTTGGGAGGCTGAGGTGGCTGGATCACTTGAGGCCAGGAGTTTGAGACCAGCCTGGCCAACATGGTAAAACCCCATCTCTACAAAAAAAAAGAAAGAAAAAAGAAAAAACACAAAATTAGCCGGGTGTGGTGACGCTTGCCTGTAGTCCCAGCTTCTCAAGAGGCTGAGACAGGAGGAAGGCTTGAACCCGGGAGGCGGAGGTTGTAGTGAGCCGAGATCATGCCACTGCACTCCAGCCTGGGCAACAAGTGAGACTCTGTCTCATAAATTAAATAAATAAATAAATAAATAAATAAATAAATAGAAATTTAACAGTCCACGAGAGGCAATACTAGTCAGAATGGACATGGACCACAGTACTAAAGCTCCATTGGCTCTTGGGGAGGTCTGAGGGTCCCAGGGAAGGAGTCAGGACATTGCAGTGGGTTGGGGGGCACCCAGAGAGTCCGAGCAGTGTGGGTGGAAGTATGTCAGTCTTAAGAGTCACTACAGCCATGCCAGCATGTTCCAGCTGAATATCAGCTTCAGAGCAGGAGTTTCCTGGACAAATTAAAGATATCCTGAACCAATGAGCTCCCTGGAGCTGTACTAGACACCCCTTGTGCCCACCTCACACCCTCTCAGCCCACCTTTTCCTTCTGCTATTGCTACAGCAGCCGGCCCCTCACCTCACCCCCATCTCTTGCTATCGGCCCAGGGCTTCCCTGGCACTCTAACATAGGATGCCTGCAGTAACCAGCCGCACACCTGGACGTGTGCAGGTGTTAACACCCAGGGACCATTGGCCACCAGGAGAGAGGAGTGGGTAGTGAATGTTCCCCGTCTTTCCCCTCTGCAGCGGATGATTCTGGGAAGCAATCTATCCAGCTCCCTGGAGGGTCCTTAGCAGAGCTGAGCTCCAGTTGTCCAAAGAGGGTAGCAATGCATTCCTGCACCCTCCAATTGACTTTCCCGCCTTCCCTATCTCATTCTTCCCAGTCCCTTACTCTTGTTCCTTGGGATCAGCTCACAAAAGATCCTACCTGCCCACAAGCCCCTGAGTCAGGCTCTGCTTCCCGGGAGGACATGGGCTATGGCAGGCATGTTGTACAGCCCAGCCCCTTCTCACTGCCCTCTGCTCCTTGCAGAAGTACGTGCAGGACATCCTGCAGGAGCAGCTGGCGGAGTCTGTGTACCGAGCCCTGAAGGAGCAAGGGGGCCACATTTACGTCTGTGGGGACGTCACCATGGCCGCTGATGTCCTCAAAGCCATCCAGCGCATCATGACCCAGCAGGGGAAGCTCTCGGCAGAGGACGCCGGCGTGTTCATCAGTCGGTTGAGGGTGCGTGACAGGCTGGCTTCCCAGGTCCCTTTTCCTATATCCACTCTCCTATCGCCTCTTTTTCATCCAACCTGTCTTGATGATTAGGGAGCCACGATGATATCCCTGCTCCCATTCACTGCACTTACCACTGAGGGTAGAGGATATAGGTGGCCCCAAACAATGACAGAGAAAGTAGAAGGATGGCTGGGCATGCAGGCAGGTGTAGTAAATATGACTGGAGGCCATGTGTGAAAATAACGAGTGAATGGACCTCTGGTAACTAGACAGAAACCATTCTAACCTAACTTTTCCTGCCTCAGAAGCTGCAGCACTGCCCCGTGTAGTTGTACAGGTTGAGCACTGCACAAACAGATCCGAGGAGAGCTGTGGAGCCCTCTATATACTCAGTCTCTTTCGTGTGACCCTCAAGAGACACTTTTATAGATTCCCCAGGATTTTGCGGAAGGGAGTTAAAAACTCACCCCGGCTGGGCTCAGTGGCTCAAGCCTATAAACCCAGCCCTTTGAGAGGCCAAGGCAGGAGGATCACCTGAGGTCAAGACCAGCCTGACTAACACAGTGAAACCCTGTCTGTTGTAAAAATACAAAAATTAGCCAGGCGTGGTGGTGGGTACCTGTAGTCCCAGCTCGGGAGGCTGAGGAAGGAGAATCGCTTGAACCCGGGAAGTGGAAGTTGCAGTGAGCCAAGATCGCGCCATTGCACTCCAGCCTGGGTGACGAGAGTGAAACTCCATCTCAAAAAAAAAAAAAAAATGGCCAGGCGCAGTGGCTCACGCCTGTAATCTCAGCACTTTGGGAGGCCAAGGCAGGTGAATCATGAGGTCAAGAGATTGAGACCATCCTGGCCAACCAACATGGTGAAACCCCGTCTCTACTAAAAATACAGAAATTAGCTGGGCATAGTGGCGCATGCCTGTAGTCCCAGCTGCTCAGGAGGCTGAGGCAGGAGAATCGCTTGAACCCGGGAGGCGGAGGTTGCAGTGAGCCAAGATCGCGCCACTGCACTCCAGCCCAGGCAACAGAGCGAGACTCTGTCTCAAAAAAAAAAAAAAAAAAAAAAAACTCACCCCAACTGAAAATGAAAATGAACCCACTCTACAGATGGGTGACTTTCTTCAAAACTTTCAGGACCAGGGGAGGCTGGAACCTAGTGCACAACAGATTCTTCCTGGCTTGCCAGATGCACGCTCCCAGCCACTGCCCTTCCCCAGCATTGAGGTGCATTTTCCCCTTGTTTAATCCCTTTGCCCTTTGAGAATATTGACTGCCCGCCACAGGAGCTCCCATAACTTGGTAAATTTGCAGATGTCACAAGTCAGTCATCGCTTGGGCTGTTTCCTGGGACTCCAGGGTAGGTTCTTCTCTTTGCTTGCTTCTTTCTGGGCAATGCTGAGCAAAGATACTCACCTTCAGAGAAACTCATGCATGCCCAAGCAGTCTCCACTGTGGGCAGCTATGGGGAGTTCCCTGAGTGCTAAGCGGCCACTTGTTCCTTCCTCCCCTTTCTTCTGGTCTCATGGGCTATTTCACACTAAACCCAGCCTTGCCCAGACCTGAACTTGCAGGAACACGTTGGAGGGAGGAAAGCGGGGAATGGTGAGGTTTCCATTTGACCTCATCACTCCTTTTCACCTGAGAATCCACCAACCAGCTGCAGTGTTTCCAGATGGCAACCTAAATGTTCTTTGCCAACTGGGCTACATCCCAGAGAACAGTTTTGCTGAGCAGAGTCTTCGAGATCAAAGGTACCTCGGGGGCACTGGCTTCAGCCTCATCTCTTTGGGAACCATCTTCCTGAGGGATATTCCGTTCCAGGTGTCAGGCGAGTCTGTCCCTGCTCCAAGCCTTTATCTGGCATTTGAGAGCTGTTTTCTGGCTGTTTCTGTCTTCTAGGATGACAACCGGTACCACGAGGATATTTTCGGAGTCACCCTGCGAACATATGAAGTGACCAACCGCCTTAGATCTGAGTCCATTGCCTTCATTGAAGAGAGCAAAAAAGACACCGATGAGTAAGCTGGCTCTATCCCTGGGTGAGGGGCAGGAAGAGCCCGCTCTTCTAGGTCCTACTGGGCAGGGATGTCTGGCTTTCCCACGGTAGAGTCCCCAAACAGCAACATCAGCACCATCTGGGAACGTGTTTAAAAAATGCAGATTCCCAGGCCACCCCAGACCTGCTGGATGGGAAACTTAGGAGTTAGGATGCAGCAGTTTGCATTTTAACGAGTCCTCCAGGGGAACCCTGAGGCCCTGTCCAGTGTGGGAGGAAACCCCTGCTTTGGGTGCCGGCTTCTGTCTGGGGCACCCCCTAGTATAATGATGGCTCCTAGCTCTGGGAAGTTACTTTTTTTTTTTTTTTGACGGAGTCTTGCTCTGTAGTCCAGGCTGGAGTGCAGTGACACAGTCTCAGCTCACTGCATCCTCAACTTCCTAGGCTCAAGCGATTCTGGTGCCTCAGCCTCCCAAGTAGCTAGGACTACAGGCGTGCACCACCACGCCCAGCTAAGTTTTGTATTTTTAGTAGAGACAGGGTGACACCATGTTGGCCAGGCTGGTCTCAAACTCCTGACCTCAAGTGATCTGCCCACCCCAGCCTCCCAAAGTGCTGGAATTATAGGTGTGAGCCGCCGCCGCGCCTGGCCGGATCTGTGACATTTCTACCAGAAGTATCTTTCTTGTTTGTTTTTCACCTACTGGGGTTTAGCATCAGATTTAGGGCAAGGGTTTCTTCTACAAAAGTGTTTGAACACTCCTCATTTAGGAAAGTTGGGAGAAGAATGGGATCACCCCTGGCGCTGGGTGGAGGTCTGGAGTTCAGTTTTTGTGGAGAGTGGGGAGAAGAATGGGATCGCCCTGGACCTGGGTGGGGGTCTGGAGTTCAGTTTTTGTGTCCTTTCCCGCGGCTCCCTCACCCCCTAAATGGCTGGGGGCTTTCTCATCAACACAAATTACACTTCATATGATTTTGAGAATTTCACTGAACCTCTAGAAACTGCTGGAAACAGGCTGAGGCACCAGGAGACTGGGACTGGGTCTCATGATTTAAACCTTACCTGAATTCCGTGGCACAGCAACCTTGATCGTCATTTCATTTCCCAAAGCTCCCTGCCCCAGTCCCGCCATAAAACCCCTGGAAACCACCCGTGTCTGCCCTTTACTTTAAATTGGGTGGGGACTCAGCTGTGTTTTTTCAGCAGCACAAGGCATACACTCATTTCTTGAATTTGGCATCTTCCTTGTTTTCTGCTTACAATGACACAGCAGTCTCAAAAACATACTGTTGGGACCAGTAGACTCATATCATTGCCTTTCAGATCACAAGTCCCTGGGTTGTCAAAAGCATTTAAGGCCAGGTGTGGTGGTTCACACCTATAATCCTAGCACTTTGGGAAGCTGAGGTGGGTGAATTGCTTTAGCCCAGGAGTTCAAGATCAGCCTGGGCAATGTAGGGAGACCCTGTCTCTACAAATAATTTAAAAATTAGCAGGGCATGGTGGCACACGCCTGTGGTCCCAGCTACTTGGGAGGCTGAAGCAGGAAGATGGCCTGATCGCAGGGAGGTCGAGGCTGCAGTGAGCCATGATGGCACCACTGCACCCCAGCCTAGGCAACAGAGCAGGACCCTGTCTCAAGAGAAAAAACAAACAAACAAACCCTTTTGCCAGACCCAGTGTCTCACACCTGTAATCCCAGCACTTTGGAAAGCCAAGATGGGTGGCTCACTTGAGCCTAGGAGTTCAAGACCAGCCTGGGCAACATGGCAAAACCCTGTCTCTACTAAAAACACAAAAATTAGCCAGGCATGGTAGCACGTGCCTATAATCCCAGCTACTCAGGAGGCTGAGGCACAAGAATCGCTTGAACCCAGGAGGCGGAGGTTGTAACCAGCCGAGATCGCGTCACTGCACTTCAGCCTGGGTGACAGAGTGAGACTCAGTCTCAAAAAAAAAAAGTCCGTTGAAATGCTGCTCTTCCTGGCTAGTTGTATTTGTGAGCATTCATTCATTCACTTATTCATTTTTTCTTTCTTTCTTTCAAAACAAGCCCCTGCTAGGTGCCAGGTCCTGTCCAAGACACTAGGGCTACAGATTAAATGAAAGAGATGGGCCAGGTGCAGTGGCTCATGCCTGTAATCCCAGCACTTTGGGAGCCTGAGGCGGGCAGATCTCCTGAGGTCAGGAGTTCGAGACCAGCCTGGCCAACATGGTGAAACTCCATCTCTACTAAAAATACAAAAATTAGCCTGGCATGATGGGCGCCTATAATCCCAGCTACTTGGGAGGCTAAAGCAGGAGAATCACTTGAACCGTGCTGGGATTTCAGTGAGAGGTGGAGGTTGCAGTGAGCCGGGATCGCGCCACTGCACTCCAGCCTGGGTGACAGAGCGAAAGTCCGTCTCAAAAGAAAAAAGAAAGAAAGAGACGAAGCCCCTGAGCCCAGAGCATGGGCGATTTTCTCTGGGACACTCAGAGGAAACACAGCAGCCTCGCACTAACTGCCCCCGACTTCTCCTTCCGCAGGGTTTTCAGCTCCTAACTGGACCCTCTTGCCCAGCCGGCTGCAAGTTTTGTAAGCGCGGACAGACACTGCTGAACTTTTCCTCTGGGACCCTGCGTGGCCCTCGCTCTGCCTCCTGTCCTTGTCGCTGTGCCCTGGTTTCCCTCCTCGGGGTTCTCGCCCCTCAGTGGTTTCCTCGGCCCTCCTGGGTTTCCTCCTTGAGTTTTCCTGCTGCGATGCAATGCTTTTCTAATCTGCGGTGGCTCTTACAAAACTCTGTTCCCGCCCCCTCTCTTGCTGACAAGGGCAGCTCACGGGTGCATGAAACCACTGGAACATGGCCGTCGCTGTGGGGTTTTTTTTTCTCTGGGGTTCCCCTGGAAAGGCTGCAGGAACTAGGCACAAGCTCTCTGAGCCAGTCCCTCAGCCGCTGAAGTCCCCTTCTTTTTTATGATGACATTTTGGTGGTGCGTGTGTATATGCGTGTGTGATGGGCCGGGTCTCTGTCCATCTCCTTCCCTGCACAAGTGTGTCGATCTTAGATCGCCACTGCTTTCATTGAAGACCCTCGATGCCAAGAAACATGTCCCTGGCCCATATTAATCCCACATGCGTCCATAATTAAGGGTCCACGCCCATGTACCTGAAACATTTGGAAGCCCCGTAATTGTTCTAGTTAGAAAGGGTTCAGGGCATGGGGAGAGGATGGGAAATTGATTAAGGGGGCTATCTCCCAATGCAAGAGGCATTCCCAGAATCTGATGCATTTAGATTCCGATACCACTGAGCAGAGCCCTCATGTGACATGAACCCATCCAATGGGATTGGGCAAATCCCCTCTCCAAACCCAGCCATCCCAACCAGAATCACTTAACTTGTCCACGTCCATTGAGTCCCCCCTTCCAGCAATACCAAGGGGTCCGGAAGTTACGTTGTTCAAAGAAGTCCGGTGGCAATAAGGATCTTCCACTTTGCCACCAGGTGACTTTGGATGGGTCCTTTGTCCTCAGTTTTTCCTAGTCATAATGTCATATGAACCTAAAGAATATGAATGGATTAAATGTTAAAGCTTTGGTGCCTGGAAACAATATCAAGTAACAATATGATTGTTATTTTTTTATTCCCCCAAAGGGGGCTTGCTGCTTCACCCTTGGGGATGAAATGATGGGAGCTCGTTAAAGTGGATGAGGTTGGAAAGAGTTGCCACAATGAGGTCCCACGTGGCTTCTTCAATAGGAACCACAACTCAGGGTGGGAAGAACTTGGCCCTCAGGCTTGTTGCCCTCTACAGTTGATCTCCAAAGTTTTAAACCTGTTAAAGTAATTTTGACAAATAAATTACCCTCAACTCAGATCAAAAATGGGCAGCCAAGTCTTTGGCAGGAATTGGGGCCCGCGCAATTTCTCCCTAAGAGGCAATCTGTTGAATTTACTCTCTCAAAGTAAATGGTGGGAAGGGATCCCTTTTTATACTTTTTTAAGTACTACAAATTAATGTCAGGCAGTTCCCAGAAAGAAACAAGAAATCCTAGTGGCCCCCCAGACTGCAGGGTCCCCAAGGATGGAAAGAGAATGTTCTGCTGGTTCTACCCTGTTTGTTGTGTCTTGCCATACAGAAAAACCACATTTCTTTTATATGCTGTGCGTGGGCATATCTTGGTGTTCAGTTTGGGCGCCCGCTAAAGAGGAAGTGCACTGGCCCTCTTTGAAAGGCCTTTACAATGAGGGCACCAACACCCCAAAGGACCCAGGCCAGGAGACTGTTAAAGTGAAAAGGCAATCTATGTCTCACCTTGCTCTACCATCCCTGGCAGCCCTCCCCAGTGCCCCGTTACTGCCATGTGGAGCTTGACTTCATGCCAGCTATAATCTCCCCTGCCTTCCTTTAATCACAATTTCCCCTGCTCAGTCTTCCACAGATGTAAAGAACAAAGACTTAGCATCCCACACTCTCTCTCCATCCCCTTCCCTGCACAAGTGTGTCGATCTTAGATGGCCACTGCTTTCGTTGAAGACCCTCGATGCCAAGAAACATGTCCCTGGCCTGTATTAAGCCCACACGTGTCCATAATTAAGGGTCCACGCCCATGTACCTGAAACATTTGGAAGCCCCGTAATTGTTCTAGTTAGAAAGGGTTCAGGGCATGGGGAGAGGATGGGAAATTGATTAAGGGGGCTATCTCCCAATGAAAGGGGCAGTCCCAGAATTTGATGCATTTAGATTCCCCTTCTATCCTGAAGGGAAGCCCATTCTAAACTCCTTTCCTGCAAACACAGTTCCAGCTCCTAGTAGCTTTTCTCCAGAAGGCTTTCTTTCCAATCCTTTATGCCTTTGGAGACGCCTCCCCAGTTCCCCAGGGAAGGAAACTGCTGTGTCCAACCCCCATCAAAGAGAAATTGACCAGTGCTTCCCACTCCAAGTCAAGCTTTATGCAGGAATGCTTTTCCATCAGGGAATAAATACTTAGAAGGGCTTACGATGTGCCAGGCACCTCCTTTCTGCATGTCCCTACCCTTTTAGTAGCAGACAGATGGAAACATTGTCTCATTTTGTCAAGGAGTCCAAAGAAATGATTATATAACCAGGATTCATCCTTCTTCTCCAGAAAGATTTTTTTTTGTAAGTAAACACCTTTCAATCCCCAACACAAGCTGCTTCACAACTCCAGGCTAGAAGGCAGGAGGGCGATCTGATGTGTTTCTTTCATTTGCCAGAATTCCTGATACCAAAAGCCTCTCTCTGTTGAGTAACCTATCAAGGACCAGAGTGGAGTACAGATTTAGAGTTTAGCTCAGATCCAGGATGGGGAAATACTGCCCTCTTGTGGTGACTTTTCATCCAGGCCTTGTAGCCAACCGTAAGTGCAAAATAGAATTAACCAATGGGTGGGCAAAATAGGGTTGACGGGGTATTTGGGGGTTGTTCGGGTTATGGCCCGTTTATTTCCCTCTTCCCCCTGAATTGGCCTGTAGCAGCTCCAACCCCATTTCAGAAAAGTGAGTTTGGCCGAGAGGAATGAGACGTCTCCTGAAATAGGAACGCTGGATCATGCTTACCTACCATCACTATGAATCCAGTTCCCGCACCTTGTGTCGTGAAAGAGCAGAGAGATGACAGTTAAACTCCTTGGGAGGAGAGAGAGCTTCCTTTGGTTTCCCTGGAGTGAGACAGCCAGGTGGCTTTCTTTTGCCCGGGGATGCTTCAGACCCATCAAAATGGAATTTTGGGAGCCGACCTGAGTGCAAATCCTAATTCTGCCCCTGTTGGTGCAGATGGCTGTGGGCGGCTCACTTGACCTTTTAGAGTCTATCTACCCACCTGTATAACAAGGTGGATTGAATGAGACAATGCCCACGAAATGCCCAGTTACAGTACCTGGTTCAAAACTTACTGCATTTTAATTTTTCACTTAACTTATAACATGTCTTGCTTCTCCAGTGTGTGGAAGGCACCAGAGAGTATGCAGAGATAAGGGAAACACAGTTCCTCTCATGCAAAAGGTTAGAATCTTCTTTTTTCTTTTTTCTAGACAAGAAAAGCTCTGTCACCCAGGCTGGACTACAGTGGTGCGATCTCAGCTCACTGCATCCTCTGCCTCCCCCAGTTCAAGCGATTCTCCTGCCTCGGCCTCCTGAGTAGCTGGGACTACAGGTGCCTGCCACCATGCCCAGCTAATTTTTGTATTTTTAGGAGAGTCAGGGTTTCACCATGTTGGTCTTGCTGGTCTTGAATTCCTGACCTCAAATGATCCACGCACCTCAGCCTCCCAAAGTGTTGGGATTACAGGAATGAGCCACCACGCCCGGCCAAAGGTTATAATCTGATGGAGAGAACACCGGTCTTGGAACTGACATAAATTTCTGAGGTTTGAGAAATGGGTGGGATTTTACTGGTAGCTTCTGGAAGGTAAGAGTTGGTCAGGAATTGGGAAGAGAGGAAAGGCACGGACAGGGAGCATGTAAGATAAATTGGGGCTGGCTTTGGAAGGCTGAGGAGGGCGAGAAAAGGTGGGCTGGGACCAGACCGTGGGGAGAGGTGAGTGGCATGACAAGAAATTTAGACTTTATTCGGAAGGCAACAGGGAGTCCCTAAGAGTGTTTTTTTTAAAAGGGGACATTATGGCAATTTGAGTTATGCTTGGAAAAGAAAGTTCTGGCCACAGTATAGAGCATGGCCCGTTGAGCTGTTGGGGGGTTATTGCTGCAACCAAGGCTTGAGTGAGGGAAGAGGCAGATGTAGTGATAAAGAGACTCCACGAACTGAATCAGCGTACCTGGCGCCCCATCTGCTATAGAGGGTGAGAACAAAAGAGAAATTAAAACATCTTGCAGGCTGGGCACGGTAGCTCGTGTCTGTAATCCCAGCACTTTGGGAGGCCAAGGTGGGTGTATCAGTTGAGGTCAGGAGTTGGAGACCAGTCAGTCAGTTAGTAGAAACCCTGACTCTACCAAGAAAATACAAAAAATTAGCCGGGCATGGTGGCACGCGCCTGTAGTCTCAGCTACCTGGAAGGCTGAGGCAGGTGGATCACTTGAGCCGGGGAAGTGGAGGCTGCAGTAAGCCAAGATTGTACCACTGCACTCCAGCCTGGGTGACAGAGCAAGACTCCATCTCAAAATAAAATAAAGTAAAACAAAACATCTTACCACTAGCTGAGAGAGAGGTCTCCAAAGAGCAGGCTCAGGCAAACGAGTTTTCAGAGCTGATGTGATAGCTTCTCTGGAGTCGACAGGGTGAATCCTTCCCAAGTCCAGCCATGCCCAGATGCCTGGAGGGAAAACTGACCCCCAGCCAGTAGACATCGGTTAAGAACACGGAATCTTCTGACCAAACACGCTTTCAGCAGCTGCCTGCTCTGGACTTTGAAAGAGGTCAGGTTTTACCCTAAGCTCAAAACAAGTGAGAGTTGTCCTGACCTAGCTCATGGGACAAATGGTTCTGACAGGATGGGCAGTCCAGATGCCTGAGCCCCTGCCCTCCTACAGCACCAGTGCCTCATGCAGCCTTTTCATTCATGCCATTAGGAAATCCATGGACTTCTAGTCTGTGTTTTAAGCCAGCCATGTTTCCTTGTATATTTCCCTACCCGCTGCCCCAGATACCCAGCATACTGCTATGGCCACCGTGTCCTCAAAGCCTTCTGTCTGTATCAGGAAGGTAGTCTGAGACTGCCAGGAAGCAACAAGGAGAGAGAAACACTAACTAGTCTTCCTTTATAACCCATTCATACTCTCTGGCTGTCCCCAAACTTCATAAAGTCTCCTGCATCCAAATGTCCTCTTTGGCTCAAAAAGTAGGCCAGGCATGGTGGTTCATGCCTGTAATAGCACTTTGGGAGACTGAGGTGGGAGGATTACTTGAGGCCAGGAGTTTGAGACCGGCTTGGGCAATGTAGTAAAATCTCATCTCTACAAAAAAATAAAATAAAATTAGTTGGGCATGGTGGCATGCTTCTGTGGTCCCAGCTACTTGGGAGGCTGAGGCAGGAGGATCACTGGATCCCAGGAGTTCAAGGCGACAGTGAGCTAGGATGGCATCACTGCACTCCAGCCTGGGTGACAGAGCGAGACCATGTCTCTAAAAAAAAATCAAACTGAAAGACCAGGTGCTGAGATTGAAGAAACACAGGTCTGAGGGTCTGAGGGAAGGGGCCTGCCTCCCAGGGAGTCAACACAGATGTTCCCCATGAACAGGGATTTCACCTTTGGAAGCCAACCTGGCCTGGCCTCTGCCCTTTATCTCACACCCCCTATCCTTGGCCCACTGCCAGTCCCTGCCTTGTGGCAAAAGAACCCCAAAAGAAAAGCTGCCTTCTCCAAATGTGAGGACCCAGGTACACTTTCACCCATGGAAAGCAGTGTCTGTTGCGAGTCTGTTTCCTATTAATACTTATCAAAGCCACGTGCGAGGGAGGTGGTCAGGTGTCAATATGCCTTAGTATGTATCTATGAGTTTGTTTTGTTCTGGAATATCTGAACAGTTCTGATCAAGCAGGGTTATGCCTGTCTGGTCCAAAACACAGTCCGTTATTAACGAGATGGCCCTGGTAGGCAGGAACACATCTGCCTCCATGCACTGCTTCCTATAGTCTTTTAGAAAATGACTCCAGGACATCCAAGTGCCCAGATTTGACTCTTAAGTTCTAGGAGGCTCTTGCATGGGGTCTGTCAACCTCGGCACTATTGGCATTTGGGGCTGGATAATTCTTTATTGTGGGGGCCGTCTTGGGCACCGTAGGAAGCCGAGCAACATTCCTGGCCTCCATCCACTAGACACCTGTAGCAGTGTCCTGCCAATGGTAACAATCAAATATGTCATCAGACATTGCCCAACGTCCCCGGGGACAACACCCCTCTCTGGGACTTCAGGGTCAAGAGAATCTCTGCTGGCTACCCCAGGACTTCTCAGTATAGATTTCCTGGAGCAAGCAGCAGAAGCTTTGCCTGGCCCAGTGGTTGTTGCCATTATCTCCTGCCAAAGTGGGATTTGAGGAGATCTGGGGGAGGGGGCACGGGGAGGGCAGTATGCTTTCAAAAACCCCTCCCAGGCCGGGTGTGGTGGCTCATGCCTGTCATCCCAGCACTTTGGGAGGCCGAGGCTGGCAGATCACTTGAGGCCGGGAGTTAGAGACCAACCTGGCTAACATGGCAAAACCCCATCTCTACTAAAAATACAAAAATCAGCCTGGCATGGTGGCGGGCATCTGTAATCCCAGCTACTCGGGAGGCTGAGGCAGGAGAATTACTTGAACCCGGGAGGCGGAGGCTGCAGTGAGCCAAGATGGTGCCACCTCACTCCAGCTTGCTGACAGAATGAGACCCTATGGAAAAAAAAAATAAATAAGCCCTCTTATGCCAGGACAGAGGATGACAGCCCATTTCAATAATACACTATGTCCTTGGTGTTGGTTCTGATTAAGACCCACTGAGATCCAGTGCTCTCGACTCGGTCTCAGTTCCCTCCCACGTCCTGTGCTCTGCCGCCACTGTTTTCATTGTTGTGTTCTCATTGTGATTGTTAAGACTCACACTCCTGGCTCAGCAGTGGTTTTCCAGAAGGCCCAAAGAGTGGTGCCGGGCACCCCACATCACAGTGTCCTTTCCGGGCTTGGGAAACTGGGGAGATGGGCAGACCTGGTCACATCTCAACACACACAAACACACACACACACACACGCTGTCAGAAACTCGGCCTTCCCCCCTACCTCTGAGCTCTCGATGCTGCTAATCTCTGCCAAGTGTCCCTGTGCTCCAGCACCTTCCTTGAAGGCCTGACGCCCACCCCACGCTCTTTGCGAGGTTGTCCAGGCTGTGTTCGTCGCATGCTTTTCTTCTGTATAGTTCTCATCTTCCAATTTTATGGGATTCAACAAAAGCCTATTATGCTTGTTTGCATTATGGTTACAATATTAAAAAGTGGATTCAACTTGGCTGGCTGCTGTCTTCTCTTGGATTTGCTTGGAGTTTCTCACACCTTGGCCTGGGGTCCTGGGTTGGGTACCCCAGAAGCCTGCTCTGAGATGGAGTTGTCAGGAGGCTGACAAGGGAGTGCTCTTGGGGAGGAGAGGGGAGAGAGGGGAAGGGGAGAAGGGAGGAGAAGGAACTGGAGAGGAAAAGAGAGGAAGAGAAGGGAGGGGAGGGAGTGGGAGGGGAGGGGAAGGGAGGAGAGAGGACGGGAGGGGAAGAGATGGAAGGAGAGGAGAGAAGAGGGGAGAGAGGAAGGAACAGGGGAGAGGGAGAAGACAGACCAGGGAAGGAGCAGGAGGGGGAGGGGAGGGAGGGAAAAGAAGGGAAGAGGAGGGAGGGTAGAGGAGGGGAGGAGAGGGAGAGAAAAGAGGAGGAGGAGAGGGAGCAGAGAGGAGGGAAAGAAAAAAGAGGAAAAGGGGGAGGGGAGAAGAAAGCTAAGGGAAGAAGAGAGAAGGGAGGGAAAGGAGGAGGCAGAAGGGAAGGGCAGGGGGAGAGGAGGAGAGGGGAGGAGGCCTCTCTGGTCAGAGGCAAAGCTGAGCTGCCATAAATCTCAACAGAAACTTCAGCCAGCCCTGCAGGGCATTCTAAAGGTGACCTTTCAGAGGGGTCCCGATTTGGGACTGGAAGGCGGGACTTTAGACCCCTACATCAGTCCGTCTTGAGTCAGGCAACTCTCACCAGCAGAAGCCACACCCAAGGGGCTGAAGGCTGAGGGTGCTGCCAGCAGCCAGCGGACTGTTCCTGATTCCGGATGCAGATCTGGGTGGCGCAGCTGAGCATCCTCTCTGCCCTCCTTCCCAACACCCCCTTTCCTCCAGCACAGCTGCTCCGTAGCCAGGACCCCAGAGAAACAGGTGGACCTGGACCCTCAGCCGTCTTCCATTTAGGGCCGTCCTCCCTGAGGACCCTAAACCCTAATTCCTGGCTGGTTTCAGGCCCAGTTCCAAAAGAGACCTCAAAAGCAGTAAAAGAATAGATGAAGAGGCTGGACGCAGTGGCTCAAGCCTGTAATCTCAGCACTTTGGGAGGCTGAGGCGGGCAGATCACCTGAGGTCAGGAGTTTGAGACCAGCCTGGCCAACATGGCGAAACGCTGTCTCTACTAAAAATACAAAAATTAGCCGGACGTGGTGGTGCATGCCTGTAGTCCCAGCAACTCAGGACACCAAGAGGTAGGAAAATCATTTGAACCTGGGAGGCAGAGGATGCGGTGAGCCGAGACCACAGCATTGCACTCCAGCCTGGGCAACAAGAGAGAAACTCCGCCTCAGGAAAAAAAAAAAAAAAAAAAAAAAGAACAGATGAAGAAGCGCTGATGTCAAATGCCTGACAGATTTGTGACCATAAAGGAATAAACTGGTGGTTGGGTTTGATGCAGGGGGATGAGGCTTCATCATACCCTTCCAGACATGGCCATTTGGATGCCGTGACTAGACATTTCAGCTTTTTTTTTTTTTTTTTTTTTTTTTTTGCCAGACTCTCACTCCATCGCCGTCGCTCAGGCTGGAGTGCATGGCACAATTTCAACTCACTACAACATCCATCCCAGTTTCAAACGATTCTCCTGACTCAGCCTCACAAGTATCTGGGATTACAGGCATCGGCCACGACACCTGGCTAATTTTTTTGGATTTTTAGTAGAGACAGGGTTTCACCATGTTGGCCAGGCTGGTCTCGAATTCCTAACCTCAGGTGATCTGCCCGCCTCGCCCTCCCAAAGTGCTGGGATTATAGGCGTGAGCCACTGCGCCCAGCCGACATTCAGCTTTTTTTAAATTACCAAGTAGCTTACTCAACTCATTGCCCACCCTACCCGCACACATATATCACTCCTGACTCCTCCATCCCATCCCTGAGCCTCATGCCTAAGTTCAAGTATGGGATGAAGATCAGAGACAGAGCAGGAGTCAGGGAACTCCATGCCCCACTTACTGTCCTACAACAATGTGTTAGCCAATTTTAAAAAGGGCAAACAGTTATTGAAAGCCAGTCCTGGTGGGCACAGTGGCTCATGCCTGTAATCCCAACACTTTGGAAGGCTGAAGTGGGAGGATTGCTTGAGTCTGGGAGTTCAAGCCAGCCTAGGCAAGATAGTGAGACCCTGTCTCTACAAAAAATACAAAAATACAGCCGGGCACAGCAGCTCATGCCTGTAATCCCAACACTTTGGGAGACTGAAGTGGGAGGATTGCTTGAGTCTGGGAGTTCAAGCCAGCCTGGGCAAGAGAGTGAGACCCTGTCTCTACAAAAAATACAAAAATACAGCTGGGCACAGTGGCTCATGCCTGTAATCCCAGCACTTTGGGAGGCCAACGCGGGTGGATCACCTGAGGTCAGGAGTTCAAGACCAGCCTGGCTAACATGGTGAAACCCCATCTCTACTAAAAATACAAAAATCAGCTGGGTGTGGTGGCATGCACCTGTAACCCCGACTACTCAGGAGGCTGAGGCAGGAGAATCACTTGAACCCAGGAAGCGGAGGTTACAGTGAGCCAAGATCACACCACTGCACTCCAGCCTATGTGACAGAGTGAGAATCGGTCTCAAAAAAAAAACAAAAAAACCTGGGTGTAGTGGTGTGCACCTGCAGTGCCAGGGGTAGCTGTAGTCCCAGCTACTTGGAAGGCTGAGGTGGGAGAATTGCTTGAGCCTGCGAGGTCAAGCCTGCTATGAGTCATGATTGTGCCACTGCACTCCAGCCTGGGCGACAGAGTGAGCGTCAAGCAAAAAAAAAAAAGAAAAAAGAAAAGCTAGTCTTGACAAGAATGCTTTGAAATGTTACCGTTTACTCTCCTCCAATTTAAAGCTTGGGTAACTGACGTGCAAGGGGATCAGACAGTTCATGCAAGACCAACACAGCATGTTAATGTTAGAGGTGAGATTTGAACCCAAACTGTGCAACCCAAGAATCTGCATTCCTATGTCACCAAGACATCCAGACTATCTTGGTTCAAATTCCAGCTCCTCCACTTTATAACTGTGCAATTTTGGGTAAGTTACCCGTCCTTTCTATACTTCCATTTCTTCACTGTGAAATAGGTTATGATTGTTTCTACGCCATTGGTTTATGATAGGGTTAAATAGGTTAATATCTGCAATATGCAAGGGCAAGACAGGATGGAATGGAATGGAGTAGAATAGGTAGATAAAATAAGGCCCCAGCTCTGGTGCCTCCCAGTCTTCTCAGTTTTTGTGTCTTCTAGAAGTTCCGACAGCCCATCTTGAAGTTATTTGATACTTAGGCACTGAATTTCTCAGGCCTTCTCAGACCACCTGCAGTTACAGGGATCTTTCTTTTTTAAAGCCAGTGCTGCCAGGCGCGGTGGCTCACGCCTGTAATCCCAACACTTTGGGAGGCTGAGGCGGGCAGATCATGAGGTCAGGAGTTCGAGATCAGCCTGGCCAACACAGTGAAACCCTGTCTGTATTAAAAATACAAAAATTGGCCGGGCATGGTGGTGTGTGCCTGAAGTCCCAGCTACTCGGGAGGCTGAGGAAGGAGAATCGCTTGAACCTGGGAGGTGGAGGTTGTGATGAGCCAAGATCATGCCACTGCACTCCAGCCTGGGTGACAGAGTGAGACTCTGTCTCAAAAAAAAAAAAAAAAAGCCAGTGCCTGGGCATCTCCCTGACCTGTCCAGGGAAAGGCTCAGACATCTTCATGTCTAACCAGATCTCCGCGTGACTTATATACACACTGAAGTTTCAACAGGCTCCGCCCCAGAGGCAGCTGGGGACAATTTAACATTATATGCATCCCAACCAAAAGGCTTCTGTTTCCTGGCAACCACGTAAAAAACCCGAGTCTACACCAAAACAGAACCTTCCCAAGTACAAATCAGAAAGAGAAGCAGGTGGGAGACAAGTGGTGGGGGAGGGAAAATACAAATATTTTGGAGTCACTACAAACTAATATAGAATATGGGCTTCACGGTCCGTTACAGAGTCAAAATGTGTTTATTTGTTTGTTCTACCCTCCACAGGATTGCCAGGAAATCAAACACAGGCAAAATCTTTACAACCAGGTGAATCAACATTGAGTTTGATACACATCACTAAAAGGAACTCACTTCAGTGATGGCCTCTAGAGGAAAATGAGGTTACGTTAATCAAACAGCAGAAGAGTTGAGACCTGAGTAATTAGTAAAGTGATTATTTACTTATGTTTTATTTATTTATTTTATTTTATTTATTTTTATTTTTACTTGAGATGGAGTCTCGCTGTCACCCAGGTAGGAGTGCAGTGGCACAATCTTGGATCACTGCAATCTCCATCTCCTGGGTTTCAAGCGATTCTCCTGCCTCAGCCTCCTGAGTAGCTGGGATTACAGATGCACACCACCACACCTGGCTAATTTTTGCATTTTTAGTAGAGACAGGTTTTTGCCATGTTGGCCAGGCTGGTCTCAAACTCCTGACCTCAAGTGATCCGCCCGCCTCGGCCTCCCAAAGTACTGGGATTATAGGTGTGAGCTACCTCGCCCAGCCATGTAAAGTGATTTAAAAAAACAAAAACAAACAAACAAAAAAACCCTCAAATTTCTTTGTATTACTAGACTCAGGGATGGGGGTACGGAGGTGAGTGATCTCCTGGCCTTCATGCATCTAGGTTTTCTCTGCTGAAACCCGGAGTTAACATGGGAAGACTCACTCTCTTGGTCCCTTGCTAATTTACTGTGACCAAGAATTTTAAGATATTCAGGGGTGATGTTTTCCGCTCTCCTCCTCTCTCCTTCAGTTCCTTTTCTCATCAAGAAAGGAACTACCGAATAAAGCAACGATTAAGTTCGAGAAAGCCTGCCGGGCACAGTGGCTCACACTTGTAATCCCAGCACTTTGGGAGGCTAAGGCAGGTGGATCACTCAAGGTCAGGAGTTTGAGACCAGCCTGGCCAACATGGTGAAAACTTGTCTCTACTAAAAATACAAAAATTAGCTGGGCATGGTGGTGTGCACCTGCAGTCC